CAAACATATTTAACAAAATGTATATGCAAATATAATCAAATGCAAGAGGCTGTCAAAATGACAGCTAAATGGGATTTTATTACATTATTTAGTGTTATTGTTAAAGCAATGAAGGGGCAATAACTCCTGAACAACAATATTAAAAATCGTAATCTAATTATACCTCCATTTTGTCAGTCGTAACAACATATCAAAAATTGGAAAGCATTGCTTAAAGTTTCATAATCTATAACCTATTCCAATAAACCAAGGACATAACTCCTAAATGGTAAAAGTGAAAATTGCCAATATCAAACATGACTTCTAGTTTTCCATCAGTTACAACATTTTAAAATTTGAAAAGATGTTATTGTATGGTTCCTAAGTTTCATGGAAATGAAATAATAAAAGTGCCATTTGTCAGTCAACAAAAGTGAACATAGTCAATATCGAATTTGACCTCCATTTAGTCTTCAGTATACATAACAACATATCAAAATTTGATAAGCATTGGCTGAACATTACATATGTTATCCCAAGGAAACAACAAAACTTGCATTTTCCAATTCATCAAGGCCCATAACTCCTGAATGGTAAAAGTAAAAATTGTCAATATCTTACTTGTCCCCAATTGTGTCATCAGTAACAACGCTAACATATTTTAAAATTTAAAAAGCAATGAACTGCATAGAAACAATATAACGTGTCATTTTCCAATCAATTAAGGACCATTTCCCTATAACAGCAAAATTGAAAATTGTTGATACAAATGTATCAAAATTGACCTCTGCTTTGTCATTAGCATTGGTCTATAGGTTCATAAGTTATTGCAGGGAAACAACTGGAGCCACATGGGGCTGTACAACCCAAAATTAATAATTGAAAAACCTGCTTCAGAGATATGTTTCATCTGTTTTACATAAAATATGACTTTTGAAGAGTATTTAGTATTCTGGACATACTTGGCATTAAACTACAAAGATGTTTTCAAGCAAATGAACTGACTGTGCTTGAATACCATCTTTATAGTTGTTGTAACAACATACCAAATATTCATGGACTATTATAGGTTTGTATTTCCTAAATGTACCTAATTAGAAAACAAAACTTTGTTGATAGCCCCATCACCAACAGAGCCCAAAATTCACCGGTAAAACTATTGTCTTTCTATGAATGATTTTTGTTTTCAAATAAAGTGTGGTTCCTGTATTTTCAGGATTATTAGTTTAACAGCTTTTTTATTGAGATCTATTCTGTCAAAAATGAATTTATCCATGTTAACTATTATGTAATATTCCAATATCTTTGCTAATATATATTTTAACTATGTAATTGTTTAATTGTTTTGTATTTTATTACATCTAGGAGGTTTTCAACAGATATTTACAATGCATTGAAAAAAGGTTTTAGAAGATATTTAAGCATATAAAACTGTCAAAGGGCATAACTCAAAGGGCATAACTCCCACAACAATGATCAATTAATTTATCATTGAAGAGTGGAAAATCATTTGCAAATCCATAATAGTGTCTGAATCTTTCACCTACCCCTGACCTTGACATATCAAATGGCCCTTAACTTCCAATATAATATCAAAGACTCATGTAAATATATGCGAATCTAAGTTTGCTTTTTTATCAATAATGATTCAGTCACATTGGCATATTTGTAGATCCTTTATTGCTATTTTTTGTTTGTTTACAGCCTCTGTTAATTGATAGATTTTTTCTTGGAGATTAAATAAAAACTATTTATTAAACTGTTGACACAGAGATATGTCTCACCTTTTTGTTATTTTGATAGCATAATGCAAATATTGAATCCAGATGTCAATATTTAAACATGGAAACTATGAAAAACATTCAAAGTCAATGGACCATGATTTATGGTGCAGGACCAAATAACCCAATGGAAATGAGAAATGCCTATGCTTTTAAAAAACTGAATATCAAATACCATTGACTTATCATAAGTGGTTCCCTATACACAAACTAAACACACACTTTAATTTGTAAACAATGTAAAAGTTTCAAAGTCAATGAACCATGCTGAGGGGGTAGGGCCATATAATCACAATGGAAAAGAGATTTGCAAATGCTAAAACAACTGCATACCAAATATCATTGACTAAACATTAGCGTTTCCTCTTAAACTGATCTAATCACAAACTTAACATGTAAACTATGCAAAACATTTAAAGTCAATAGACCATGACTGAGGGGGCAAGGCCAAATAATCTCCAAGGAAATGAGATGTGCCACTACTTATGCATCTACATACCAAATATCATTGACCTACCACAAGTGGTTTTCTTAAACTGACCTAATCACAAACTAATACATGTGACCTATGGTTGTTAATTTCTGTGTCATTTGGTCTCTTGTAGAGATTTGTCTCATTGGCAATCATACCACATCTTCTTATTTTTAAATGTAGGCAAAAGTTTCAAAGTCAATAGACCATGACTGAAAGGGGCCAAATAAATCTCCATGGAAATGAGATGTGCCAATGCTAATACAACTGCATACAAAATATCATTGACCTACCACTAGTGGTTCCCCATAAACTGACCTAATCACAAACTAATACATTGTTGACACTGCCGCCGCCGACACCATCAGAAACAGCATACCTAAGTCTCACTTTTTTACTCCATCGAGGCGAGACAAAAGTTGTTAATTAAGGGCAATAATTCCTGTAACAAATCAATTGATAGTTTCATACTGAATTTTTGTAGATCTTGTTTTACTGATGTTTTTGATGTTTACAATCTCTTTCTAACTCAGTATTATAATTTAGAAATAGTCAATAAAGTAAAAACTGGTAAAAATTGTAATTTATGGACAATAACTCCTATAAGAAACACTCTGATAATTTTAACAGTAGATGAGGAGTAGAGATATTTTGACATTCTTCAAATTTTTGAACCTGATAGATTTTCTTTATAAAGATATAAAAATAAGAGGATGTGGTATGATTGCCAGTGACCAAATGATGTAGAAGATAACAACTATAGGTCACCATAAAGCCTTTAACAATGAGTAAAACCCATACTGCATAATAAGCTATAAAAGGCCCCTAAATTACAAATGTAAAACAATTCAAACGAGAAACTAATGGCCCGATTTATGTACAAAACAATAAAGGAAAAACAAATATGATATACAGCAACAAACAACAACCACTGTATTACTTGCTCCTGACTTGGGATGGGCACATACAGAATGTAGTGCGGTTAAACATGTTTGCTGGCGACAAATCCTCCCCCTAACTTGGGACAGTGGTGTAACAGTACAACATAAGAACAAACTATAAAAATCAGTTGAAAAGAGGTTTATCTATTATGTTTTTCAAGATATAAGACAAATACTTGTCATTTATACCCTCTTGTTTTATTTCTAGTGAATTAACCATGTTGTGAACTGGCTGGGACAAAATACACTAACTTCATACTTTTATACCCTTATGATTATTCCGCATAAGTTTGATTGCAATTGGTTCAGTGGTTTCAAAGAAGATAAAAGTGTTACTAAAAAAATTTTTTTTGACTTCATTGGAAGAAAAAAAGTGATTTCAATATAGCCCCCCATACTAGAGTGGGATATTATTATCAAATCCTTTCAGACTTTGTCCCTATCAGTTAAGAATTGCAGGAAAAGAAAAATCACTTTTGAAAATAGTGATGAAAAAACAAAATATTTGCACAAAATAGGATTTGAAGTACATTCAACCAGGCAAAAGATGGATTTGATATTGTTATTCTAAAAGTTCACAATGGTTAAGTCAGAAAAGAAAAAAATATTATATTAGCAGTGTCTGACAATACATGTAACAGTACTAAACAACCTTACAGAAAAGTGCATTATAACCATGCACTTTAATCATGTGATTTATTCATGTTTAATATCATCTTAGACTTTCTTTATCCATCAAATAAACATTGCAATTCATTTCTAAAGAATTACACAACGTTTTTTGTCAAATTTATTTCTCACAGTAAATATTGAATATGAACAGATTATGCTCTAAATTCCCATGATTTACTTATAATCATCTAGCAATTTAATGATTTTCAAAGGATGTCAAATAAATGAACCTATTTCATATCATTTACAGTAAGAAAATGAACAGTTAGAAATGCGACTAAAATATACAACAAAAGTACATGAGAACTTGAGTCATGGTAGAAAATTGATGTAAGAAATCTTCACAAAATATATCATATAAAAGCAAACATGTGCATAAAACAGTTTAATGAAGCATCTTTTTGCTCTATGCAGTGGATACAAACTTTTTTGTGAATATTTGTTTTTAAACCAGAAATAGTATGAAGATTTCCATTTGGGCATTATAAGTGAGATGAGTGTCTGCAATCAGACATTGAACAGCTATAGAACATTGTGACCTTACTCCATAATATTTGATAAATATAAAGTCAGTCGGCTGGCGAGTTTTAGCGATTTTCAAAATATTTTAGCGACTTTTATTGCAATTTTCTAGCCATATTATGTCCGGTTTATAAACAAAATAGCTTTCATACTAAAAATCACATTGAATAGCTAGTGTATTATCTTCTTGGTACAATTCTAAGGTAAAAAGGATCACAGTACAAAGGGCAACAACTCAATCTTAAAACTGTGAAATTGGCTTTTGAATAATATGTATATGGGCAAATTAAAATTAAAATGTTATAATTGCAAAGAATAAGAACAAAGATTTACATAAAACTTACTAAATCAGAATAGAAACAGGACTTCTGTATGACAGAAAAGAGTACAATCAATGAAAGAAAACATAGATGTAAGATAAAAAAAGAAGATTATTATTTTAAAGAAAAAAAATGATGGTGTAATGTTTAGGTTACCAATCCTGCCTGACATGTACAGTGTGCAAATAGTAGGAACATGAAAAAATGAAACTGTTACTTACCATATTAAGGTTAGAGACATAATATTCTTCAGGACATGTATAATGTAAAAATAGTAGGAACATGATACAATTCTAATGAAACTGTAACTTACCATACTAAGGTTAGTGACATACTCCTCTGCTGGACATGTAAAGTGTACAAATGGCAGGAACATGTTGTAGTAATCATACCAGTAAAAATACAGGATTGTAAGTCTGGGGTAATCTTTGATTCCATATAATAGAAACAGTGCATACCCAGGGTGTATTGACTGAAATATTTTAATACATATGTTTGTAACTTTAATTTTTTTTGGCATAACATCAGGAAAACTTGCATTACAAGTAATTATTAGACTGGCATCATTTTGTACTTTGTCTGAATCAAGTTCCCCATAAGTTTTACCAAGGGGTTTACATTTATTTAAATAGCTCATTTTGTATTGGATTTGATATGTGAAAGCTTAATCAATCTTGTTAAGGAGTGCAATGTCAATTGCCCACTTAGTTTCTCTAGACAAAACTGACAAGCCAGTGAATGATGAAATAAAGGTCAGTGTAACAGGCTTTTTAGAAAAATGGTTATTTTACTCCCCTAGATGCATCTTTACACCAAATTATATGGCTGTAGGTGCTATATATATATATCAGAACTAAACTAAAATACAAGATATTGTGGCATGAAAAGTATGTAAGAATTGTCTATGTTTTAAGACCATCTTACATCTCCAAAATGCTTTATTCCTCCAAGTCTATTGTCACCAATGAGTATTTGACTACTAACAAAAAAAGTCAATAAAGAATGAAATTTAGGCTAATGTTACCTACTTGATCACAATCAGACAGGTGGATCTTTATGCAAAAACCTCCTGTCCATTAACTAGTCTATATTTATAAATGCTAATGTTACATGAAAGTCATATAGCTGTCAACACAGCAGCCTTTCCCCATAAAGGCCATTCCTATCAGGTCAAAGTTGTTTTCGATCATTTATAAGGCATATATTTATATAAAACTTAATCAGACCCAGTGAAGCATGAAACTTTGGTCATGTGACCTACATCTGCTGAAGCATTGACAGTACAAAATAAAGGAGATGTGGTATAATTGCCAATGAGACAACTATCCAATAGAGTCCAAATGAAGCCGATTTAAGCAACTATATGTCATCGTAAGACCTGCAATAATGAGCAACCAATAGTCAGCTCATATATAAAAGGCCCAGGTATGAACCCTGAACAGTTTAGCAAGTTTGAACACAACATTTAAGCTTAAAACAGCTCTGAATTTGGATTGTGATTGAATATTTATAATAGATTATTATCTAATTAATAATGAAAATGATATTTGCAAATCTGAACCCCAAACAAGATCATGTAAAAATTAAACATTCTATATGTGCCTGTCCCAAGTCAGGAGCCTGTTATTTAGTGGTTATGGTTGGTTGCTGTCTGTCATATTTGTTTGTCTTTTATTGCTTTGTTATAAATCAGGTTTTTGGGTATTTCATTAGAAAAGTTTCACACACACACAACAAAAATAAAATACCAGATAACAACTGTGACATCTACCTTCATAACGCACATGACTTAAAAAAAATTTGATGTTATCATTACAGGTTCATGGAATAAGTTTGAGTTATTTCCCTTTGAACAGAAATATGGTTTAACATAGTTATGATTTCACTAAAAATAGTTCTCTAAATTAGATATGATGTAACACAATGTATATCTATTTTCAAATTATAATCAAATATAATTAATAGTTCCAAATATTTTTTCTTTCATTTGTCACAAACTAATATAGATCTGCAACTTATCTATCAACTTTATCTACACAATGTAATGTAATGAAATATATCCTTTAATAAAAATAGATTATTATCTAATTAAAGAAGTTCACTTCATAAAAAAAAAATATATAGCATTCAGAAAATTAGTTTATACAGAATAACAAACAAACCTACCACAAAATTCTTCAAACAACTTACCAAAGAAAAGAAAAAAAATCCAAAATGTCATTTATCATTAATACAATGTCTTTTAAAAATCTTTTAAAAAATGAGTTATTTCCCTTTGTACAGAAATGGATTAATTCATCAAAGATTGAATTCTTGGGAAAGGGCTATAACTGAACAACGAGAAAAGCTAAAATCGTGAAAATTGAACTTGACCTTCATTTAGTCACAGGAAACAACATATCTAAATTTGAAAAATTCCTTCAAAGCGTTTTCATGTAAATGAACGGACACTGTTCGGCAGCCGCCCACCCACCCGCCGTACATCCCAATATCAATAACCGATTTTTACTTCGAAAATCCAGTTAAAAACCTGATTTAAAAGACAAACAAATATGACAGACAGCAACCAACCATAACCACTAAATAACAGGCTCCTGACTTGGGACAGGTACATATAGAATGTTGCTGGGTTAAGCATGTTTATTTATGTTTATATATCTCTTTATATATAGATATAAGAAGATGTGGTATGATTGCCAATGAGACAACTATCCAACATGATAGCCGATTTAAGCAACTATATGTCATCATAAGACCTGCAATAATGAGCAACCAATACCGTATAGTCAGCTCATGTATAAAAGGCCCAGATATGACAAACTGTGAAACTGTTCTAATGAAATAACCAAAAACCTGATTTATAACAAAGCAATAAAAGACAAACAAATATGACAGACAGCAACCAACCATAACCACTAAATAACAGGCTCCTGGCTTGGGACAGGCACATATAGAATGTTGCTGGGTTAAACATGTTTGTGAGTGCTAACAAACTCTTTAAGCTGCATTTGCATACCAAATATTTAAGTCACTGTCAACTATTTTCTTCAAGCTTGTAATATGGTCATTGGGCATTGGATAATACAAAAAAAGGTACTAAAGGTAATACATAAAAAATGATAACAGAAATCAACATAAATACTGCACAGTACAACTGTACAACATACAACAACAAAAAAAATCTCTTCCGAAAAAAAAACAGATAAACAAACAAAGACAAAAACACAAACAAAAATACACATGTTCTAAATAGCCTGACTTGTTACTGGCAAATACTGGGTGGGGTTAAACTACTTTTAGTGCGCAAAAAGTGGCTTATTGTAATTTGGAAGGGTTCTCCAATTTTTAACTTCAACTTCAAAAAGAAAACCAACTAGTTAGGACTGGAGAAAGGAGGAGGTGTGCTAAGGGCCATTTTCGGCCTACAAAAATTAAGTAATACAAAACCAGGTGATTTAAGCTCAAACATAATTAACAACATATATACAAACATTGCGGTAAATTATAAAGTCAGTACTTGCATGCGTCTATATTTGGGGGTACAAAAACCAATTAAAAAATTACCAAAACCAATGTTTTTTCACAGAAACAAGTAATAGAGCCTACTTTGTGACATCAAAGCTGCAAATATTGTGACTTCATAGATAAGGAAACTTTTAGTTTTAGCTTTTCCATTACCTTAGCTTTAAAATAAATGGGGAATGTGTCTATGGGACACAGATGATGCCCCCGCTTGCATATAGCGTTATAAAGGGACAAACCTCAAGAACTGTAAAAGTGACGCTACCCAAAGTTGTACTTGATCTGAGTTTTGTGGTAAAAAGCATTGTGTATACGTTTCATAACATATAGTTGAGGCAAACTTAAGTTAGAGAACGGAAACGAAAAATTCAGCAATTTTTCCATTTGTAAAAGGGCATCACTCTAGAACGGTAAAAGTGACACCACCAAAATTCAAACAAGATCTGTGTTTTGTGGAAATTAGCATTGTGCATAAGTTTCATAACATATGGCTGAGGCAAACTAAAGTTAGAGAACAGAAACGAATGTTTAAGCAATTTTTCCATTTGTAAAGGGGCATAACTCTAGAACAGTAAAAGTGACACCACCAAAACTCAAACTTGATCTGTGTTTTGTTGTATTAAGCATTGTGTATAAGTTTCATAACATTTGGTTGAGGCAAACTAAAGTTAGAGAACGGAAACAAAACATTCAGCAATTTTTCCATTTGTAAAGGAGCATAACTCTAGAACGGTAAAAGTGACGCCACCAAAAATCAAACTGGATTTGTGTTTTGTGGTAATGATGCAAACTAAAGTTAGAGAACGGCGGGGGTATAAAAATTGATGGTAAAGTGAAAATATAGGCCAATAAACTGCTCTGCTGAGCGCAGCTGGATACGACCGCAGAGGTCCAACCCTGAACAGTTGGGGCAAAAATGGACAAAATATTCAAGCTTGATACAGGTCTGAATTTGGATTGTAATTAAACATTTGACACATTATAGGTTTCTGACACAGAATAAATGTAGTCAAAGAACTTGAATTTGGTTATATGATTTGAATTTATATTCAATTGAAGATTTCTTGCTGCTGTGCAAAACACTGTGCTGTTGTGCAATACTTAGTAAATCTGTTTTCAGACTATATACAAAGAATTATCAAAATAATTTGTGACCCCCAATTTTTTGGGGAGAAATTTGATAATTTTTTAAATCTTGAGGAAAAAAAATTACCCCCCCCCCCCCCCTCCAAAATTTTTTTTTTACCCCCCTCCAAAAAAAATTTTTTAAAGAAATTTTCTTTTTGTAAAATGTGGTACAATTTAAGAGACATCCATACACTTGAACACAAGTTATTGTCTGAAAACTAGAAAATTGCTTGTTTTGGCCCCTTTTTGGCCCCTAATTCCTGAATGGTTTGGGCAATTACCCCCAAAAATGTATCCCAACCTTCTACTTGCAGTATTGAACCTTGTGGTACAATTTCAGAGCAATCAAAATACTTATACACAAGTTATTGTCCTGAAACTAGAAAAATGCTTGTTTTGGGCCCCTTTTTGGCCCCTAATTCCTAAACGGGCTGGACCATCACCCCCAAAAACAATCCCAACCTTCCTTTTGTGGTATTGAACCTTAAGGTTAAATTTCATAGAGAACACTTAAACTTAAGTTATTGTCCAGAAACCAAATGTCTTCGGACGATGACGACAACGCTGACGACGATGTGATAGCATTATATGAATGCAAAATTTTTTTGTAGTCGTATAAAAAAGATCCTGATACCTAGTCTTTTCATAAAGTTAGAAAATTTTAAAAGTAGACTTCTCTAAATATTGAAATATCTGTCTAGTTTGTTGGAGAAATAAATCTGAGTTCAGACAACATAGTTTTTTCAACCTAATACTTCCATAAATCTGAAATTCAATAACAAGAAAAATATTGTTTACCTTATACTCCCATAAATCTGAAGGATGTTTCATTCCCGTTTCTCTCAGGCTATCTATAGCTGTTAAAATGGCTGCCTTATGTAATGGTACAGAAATGTTCAATATAGATGTCAGCCCTTCTTCATTTAATGCTACTAACAATCGTCCATCTAAAATTTAAAGAATCAGAACTATCATGAAACCTTACAATTGGAATGACTGAAAATCAACATAAAAAAATACACCATGATGTCTCCCCAACTGCAATGCTTGTATATATTGTATTTAAAAGGGCAATGAACAGAGCCTGTCAAATGCACATGTTCATAAATGCACAATATTTTTTGAAGGAACAGGCACCATTCTTAAAACATTAGATTGCTGGAGTGTACCATGATGTCAAGGTCATATCGCATATGTCAGAAGCATATATAAATATATAAATATACACATTACAAACATTGTACATTAAAAATATTGTTCACTGGCATCACAACTGGGTGGTGAAAATGGGATCAAGACTATATAATATATGTTAGCTAGAGGAGTATATGCTTCACATTACCAATCTATACAGCAAACAGTGTATGCAGTAATGATAAGTTATTGTGAAACAGGATTCATCCTCAAAACTTAACCTTGTCAAGGCCATTTGACATATATGAGACAGAATTATACATCTACCAATATATCCACACACCAATTTTACTAACCTATCAGTATCATTGTCCTTGAGGAACAGCTCTCACCCCGAAAACTTAAACCTGATCACTGGAGGGCTAATATGAAGTCGAGGCCAATTGACATAATAATGTGAACAAGACATATCTTATTTTTTATATTTATATATTATACTCCTACCCACCAATCCACACATCAATAGTGTTTACATATCAAGAATTGATACTAATGAACATGTCTCAACCTAAAAAATTAACCTGACCATTGGAGGATTAATATGAGGTCAAGGCCATTTGTCATATATGAACCAGACATACACTCCTACCCACCAATCCATAAACCAATATAGGTGATCTATCAAGAATTGTTACTAATAATCATGTCTCAACTTAATAACTTAACCTGACCATTGGAACATGAAAAGGGCAGATGTCAGATGGACATATACCGGTAGTATAATCAACATACCATATATTATATACAATCACTCTAGAACAGACCTCATCCTGAAAACATAACATGACCACTCCAGTATGAAAATGAGGTAAAGGTCATATGACAATCACTGGCTGATATGAACAATGTCCATACAGATTATTGTCACCGTATATCCTACCAAATATTTGTCCAAAACACAAGTAGTCACCATTAAACTATCACAATCAATAAAATGTTTCAATACAGGTTGAGCAAAACAAGCTAATTTTTAAAACTCCAGTTTTTGTCTCCTGTTCAAAATTTTTCTACAGATCTTAGTGAAACAAAGAAAAACAATTTGATCAACATACCAATTGACTTATTGATAAAGTTATCCCTGTATGATTCTGTCCATGGCATACTTGATAACCATGCATTAACATCCTCTACTGTCCATTGTCTGACATGCTTCTTTGTCAGTAAATCATCATCAGTGTTTCTCCAGTACCAAACCAAGTATATAATCTACAAAAAATATACACTTTTACAGTAAAGTTTGGGTACAGTACCAAAAAATCTCCATGGAAATGAGATATGCCAATGCTAAGTAACAACTACATACCAATTATCATTGACTTCTCATAAGGCCCTTGATCTTAACTCAAACTTTTAATCATGTCAACTATGGAAAATTCACCATGACTGGCGAGGTGATGCCTAATATTCTCCATGGAAATGAGATGCTAAAAAAAATGCATACCAAATATCATTTAAGATCCCCCTTCAACTGACCTAGTCACTAACTTTAATATGTAACTATTCAAAAGTCTCAACGTCAATAGACAATAACAAAGGGACTGGGCCCAAAATTCTCCAAGGAAATCAGATTTGCCAACTTTATAACAAAAATCAATATCTACAGTTTGCTAAAAAAAAAAATTCTGAACTTACTGATAAAAATTATGACCCAAGCTGCACAAGCAAAATCATTTAAATGATTTATTATAAATTAAATGCAGAATGTGATCATGGGACACAGATGATGCCCCCGCTTGCATATAACGTCAAAAAGGGAAATAACTCAAGAACGGTATAAGTGATGCCACCCAAATTCGAACTTGATCTGAGTTTTGAGGTAATAAGCATTGTCTAACATTTGGTTGAGGCAAACTTAAGTTAGAGAATGGATATGAAAAATTCAGCAATTTTTTCATTTGTAAAGGGGCATAACTCTAGAACGGTAAAAGTGATGCCATTCAAATTCAAACTTTATCTGTGTTTTGTGCTAATACTAAAGCATTGTGTATAAGTTTCATAACATTTGGTTGAGGCAAACTAAAGTTAGAGAACAGAAACCAATTTCGGGACGTATGTACAGACGGCCAAGGGTAACACTTAATGAATAAAAAACCATTTTCAATACAAAAAATAACCAATTTTTTTACTGTTCTCTTTATTGAAAATGCACCATGGGTTATTCATATAGACAAACTTATGTTCTCTCAATTGTAGGGTTATCATTCACACTTAAACAACAAAAAGGGATTCATTAAATAATCACTGTATGACAAGTGCTTTTGTAAACAATTCATTAGTGAATTGACAACAAGGCAGCAAACAGTTATATTCATATATAAGTAAACTCAAGTTTGGTCAGTCATTATTGTGATATACATATTATTTCACTTGTTTTTTATAAGAAAGTTAGAAACCTTTTAATACTTAAGTCAAAGTCATAATTTCATTTTGTTACTTGTCTGGAAATTGATTGAAGTATTAAATTAGGCTGACGACGGATTCTTAGGTATACCTCTACTTTCATAAACTGGAAACTCTTATGTTATTGAAATTATCAGTAAAAAAAAAACATTGCAAGCTAGACTTGTTTGTGAACTGTTAATATTCTAATATTGATTATAACTAATAACATTTTTAAGCAGATTTTTAACCTGCTACCCTTTCATTTACTCACTGTAACTATTCCTAACATGCAAAGTATCCCAGAACAAAAATCTGCACCATTTCTGTTCCGGTTTCTTTCCCAGTTAAAATTGATTGAGTTAGATGGCACAGTGACTGTCATAGCTTTGTCATATTGCTCTACCAGTTTTTTCATTTCTGATGTCATAATAGTAGATTTTCTTTCCTCTATCTTTTCTTTGAAAGCTTTTTCTGTCAATGTTCTAAAAAATAAAAATGTCACAATTTTATGCCTCTTAATCATGCATGGCATAGGTTAAATTCAAATTTTGACAAGAGCTGTGCATGAACTTTCTCTCTAAAATCCTGATTCCATCAGGCTGTGTGATTTCAATGGAGAATATCTTTGAACAAGAGGCTGTCATAGTGACAGCAAACTGCATTTTCCTGCATGAAAATGATATTTGCAAATCTGGACCCCTAAACATGATCATGTAAAAAAAAAAGTTTAGATTCAGCATTTCAAAGAACCCCATATATTCAATTTTTGTTGAAATCAAACAGTTTGATTTTGGACCCCCGATTAGGACCAACTTGAAAACTGGGCTCAAAATCAAAAATCTATATACATGTTTATTAATAAACAATATAAGTTTTAGTTTTTAAAGGAGTTTGCTCCATATAAAAATATATATATAGCATTCAGAAAATTAGTTTATACAGAATAACAAACAAGCCTACCACAAAATTCTTCAAAACATTTACCTAAAGAAAAAGAAAAAAAAATAATTTCCAAAATATCAGTTATCATTAATACTATAATAATAATTAATATTAATCTATAAAACTTATCTGTAATTAATTTCAAAATATATAATAATGAGCAGTAAATTTCTAACTATATGTGTACCGTCCTACAGAGCTTACCTTCAACAACACTTAGGAAACACAAAATTTTCAAATAAATCTGTCACTCCAATTATAATTTTGTTAGTTGATAATTACCACATGTTTGTTATCTTGATAAAAGGTGGAAATTATTGCATGAATAAAACAGATACAATCATTGATAGACTATCTATCCATATACTTATTAATTGCACCATTTCTGTTCAAAGGGAAATAACTCAAAATAAATAAATCATATAATAAGCAGTGAAAAGTATCACTTTTGCTACTGAAAGGTCTACAACTCAACATCAAGAACAGCTAAAATTGTGAAAATTGAATTTGACCTTCATTTAGTCACAGGAAACAACATATCTAAATTTGAAAAGATTTCGTCAAAGCGTTTTCATGTTAATGAATGGACACTGTTTGGCAGCTGCAGAAATAACAGATGTTGGCAACTAAAGCAGTAATAGCAGATGTTGGCCACTATTGCAAGGTTCTATAAAACTATTAAATCAATCTTATATGAAAATGTGATATTCAGGTTGATGGCCCTCATTTGCCATTTATACTTTGTAACTGAAGGCAATACATTAAACCTGTTGGCATCTGTAAGAAATTAACTTTCCTGAAGAATTCAATAGAAACTAGATGTGTAGGAACGACACTAATGGCCCTGCTTGCAAAAAAAGCTTGAAGCCATTTTTAGTAGATATTTGAGAATAAAAGTCTTTATACTGTTATTTTCACATAATTAATTTTCAAAGTCCAAAGTCGGCACAAATCAGCGGAGCGGAACCAAACGTAAACTCCACCTGTAACCCATCATAGTAGACTCACATACTAAACATCAGCTCCATACATGTATGTGAAGGCGTTTAGAAAAAAGTCCATATAACTATTCGTTGCAGAATGACGGAATGACAGATAAGGGTAAAACTATATGGCCCCTATATGAACCTTGATCACTGATCAATGAAATGAGGTCAATGTCTGGTGGTCCTTGTCTGACAGACAAATTAACCTTGCAAGGATCCCATATAGGAAATATAGCCAGTCTATTACTCATTATACAAGAGAAAATCACAAGACAAAAAAAAATATACAGTTTTTTAAGCAGTCACTGAACCATGAAAATGTGGTTAAGGACAATGGACATATGACAGATGGAAACATCGTAACAAAAGGCATCTGTATACTAGGTATGAAGCATCAAGGCTTTCCACCTTCTGAAATATAAAAGCTTTATACAAAAATATAAGGCCACCACTAGAATAGCATCCCTATGTCACTCGTCCTGCAACTTATGGACAAAAACTTAAGCTGCTGACATCAAAATTTGTAAGGTAACACAATTGTAATTTTCAAAGATTTATTTATTACGAATCCAATCATTGATGAAATCTTGATAAGATATCGCCTGAAATAGCTGGTGACTATAATATGAAAACAAATTATAACCTGACAATAACTACTTTACAGTCAAAAGATAGTAGCAAAAGTGGAGGAAGTCAGGATATTTGTTTTCAAAAATATGAGATTTGAACCTCCATCTCAGGAAATTAGCTTTCAGGAAAGATTTTTTTCGATAAACAATTCTGGAAGGCTCCCATGTAAATCCCATCATCGCACATTTAAAACTTCTACTAATTTCAGTTTTTTTCAATACTCACCTAATAAGACTATTAATTTCAGGTTTTTCCCTGTACTGTTGTCTACAGACAGGACATTCTTTTTTCTTTGAAGTTGAAAACCACTGTGCCAAGCATGGACGACAAAAATTGTGACCACATCGTAATGTTGTTGGAAATATCAAAATGTCATAACAAACACCACAGTTAACATCGCTCTGTTCTAAATCATTTTCAAAATCAGCAACTGTTTCCCATTCGTCGTCCATGTCCTTATTTCCTTCCTCACTTTGGCCTTGAAGGTCTTTTTCAACAGTTCTCATCAGAGACATTACCTTCTACTTTCTGTTTCTGAAATTTAAAAAAAAAAACACATACAATATAAAAATAAAAGATGTGGTGTGATTGCCAATGAGATAAATATCCATAAACACCTTAAGGACAAGGATGTAAACAATAAAAGTTTATTACAGCCTTTAACAATGAGCAAAACCAATCACAATTTTAATAATCAGCTATAAAAGGCACCAGGATAACAATATATGTGAAACAATTCAAAAGAGATAACCAACAGCCTGATAAAAACATGATATTCATCTTATCGCATCTTACAGTGTGTACATTTTATAACTTGTACAGTTTGCTAGAATTTGTTCTAATGAAGCTGACTTAATCGAGCATAATGTTCCATTAACAAAAAAGTTACTTTTACAGTTGTTATCAGCTTATCTGTAAATATAAAAATTTTCAAAAACAAAAACTCTCATCCTACCTTTTATTGTAATGTCGTAAATAGAACTAGAACATTGAAAAATGATCTATTTAAACATGTTAAAGTTCTTACATCTTTCAACAGCAATGGCTACAGGTGTGATTTACTAATTAATTTAGTTAAAACGGTTTGGTTTTACAATGGTCGGAGGATTTAAATTACTTGCTGGCCTCTCACAAATACTGCTGGTTTCAATTTTTTTTCTTAAATTTTATGATTAGAATCCTTTTGCTGTTAGTAGTCTTTTTGATTATTATGTTTCTCTTCAACAACTGTTTTCAATCAACAGCTGTGGTTACCTTATCTAGCTTCCTGTAGTAGTGAGCACAGTTAGATAGGCAAAGGAGGGGGTGATCACAAACAATTTATTTAACCCTCTACATTTTGAGTCTGTACAAAGTCAGACTATCTTAATTGTTAAAATTGAGAATGGAAATGGGGAATGTGTCAAAGACAAAGAGACAACAACCTGACCAAAGAGCAGAAAACAGCCGAAGGCCATCAACGGGTCTTCAACACAGCGAGAAAATCCCGCATCCCGAGGCGGGCTTCAGCTGGCCCCTAAACAAAAATGTGTACTAGTTCAATGAAAATGGACATCACACTAAACTCCAAAACATATGAATGAACTAAAATTAAAAAACATACAAGACTAACAAGACTAACAAAGGCCAGGGGCTCCTGACTTGGGACAGACGCAAAAATGCGGCGGGGTTAAAAATGTTTTGTGAGATCTCAACCCACCCCCTATACCTCTAGCCAATGTAGAACAAACAAACACACAGCAATACGCACAGTGAAACTCAGTTCAAAAGAAGTCTGAGTCCGATGTCAGAATAGATAACAAAAGAAACTAAGCAAAATTACAATGATTCATAAATTAACAAAGCACTACTAGCAGTTACTGACATGCCAGCTCCAGACCTCAATTAAACTGATTGAAAGATTATGTCGTTATCATATGAAAATCAAGCACAATCCCTCCCGTTAGGGATTTAGTATCATATTATCATAAAATCTAAATATCATTATTTTCTGTCTATAAAGAAATAACATCAAAAATGTGGTGCACACTGACTAAGCTGTGTAGCGTGTTATTTAAAAGTGTGCACCACATTTTTGAGGTTTTTTCAAAAAGACAGAAAAAATATTGGAAATTAATTTAAATAAACAGATCTCCCTCTGACATGTAAAGTTCTGATTTTGGTGATACTTTTTGTCCCTCAATTTTGGAATTAATTTTGGCCTCGAGCATTACTGAAGAGACATTTAATGTTGAAATGTGCATCAAGTGCATTAAAATTGGTATAGTTAATGTTATCAGGTTATCAAAAACAGAAATTTCAAAAAACAGGGAAGTTTTTAATTTTCTGAAGCTTCAAATGCATTTGAATTTTATTTATCTAGTTGTTGTCAGGAGCACAGGTTTGTCTGTATTTAGAGTAAATTTTATAGTGTAAAGGCTGTCAGATTTTTATTTGAATAGAAGCAGAAATAGTCATTTTAAGAAATTACGAGAAATCCTATGTATGTTTCCTAGCAACTGTTCTGTTTCAATGATGTTTTCCAGTATTTTTCAAAACATTTTCATCTTCATTATGAAAATTTATCCCCAAATTCAATATCGCTGCAATAATCGTGAAGGTGCCTATCACTTCTGCAAGAGTAACTCCTGATGATCCTTAATTTAAAAAAAATCATGTTTGTATTTAGTATCAGAATAGAATTACATTTCTGAATGCTCTAATCGTGTTTCATAAAGATGTTTACTCAATGTATAAATGTATGTTCAGTAGAAATGGGTCTCTTATTGTAGATTATTTTCTCGGTTCTTGATTTGAGTGTTGTTGTTTTCTGTTTCCAAACAAACCGAAAGTATAAAGCAGCCGCTTATAGCATATAAATTTACGATATGTAGGCTATATTCATTCGATAATCATAATTTATCAGACACTTAATTTCAGAAATAATTTCAATATTTGCTTATGTCATAATTGTTTCTAGGGCTTATTGAATTAAACATGTGAACAATTTTGTGTGTGTTATAAGCGACAAAAATGGAAGTCACAAGAAAAAGTGAGAGGGCTTTTCAAATCTATATTTTATAAGTCCAAGTAATCAATAGATGTCCCTGCCAAGCCTGTTTGTAAAAATCCTCCAAAATTTAAGTGTTGTTTTAACATCAGATAATTATGTATTGTTAATGTCTGAAAAGTATGTGAAATATCTTGTGATCATTATAATTTCTGTCCGACTATCTTTTAAAAAAAAAAATTTCCGAATAATAGGCTGATTACAAGCATATCAATCGAGTAGCAGATACAGACAATATACAATATAAAAATTGTTATAAATACTACTGGTTTGTTTGGTTCTTTTCGTATGGGTGTCCGGTAGCTTGTCATATGCATGTTGATGTATGAAAGATCAGCATTGATGAGATCTAGAAATAAGTCATATAACTACTTATTGGAGTTATTTCCCTTCAGTCACTATTTTTATCCTTTTATTTTTTGCGTTATTTTGGATACTATCTTGAAGACTTCGTGATAGAAACTGCACAACAAAAATGTTTGATTTGCAAATAGTGCAGCCATATGGGATCCCTTTACCCAGGAAAATATAGATAAAATAGAGCGGGTTCAAAGAAAAGCAGCTTGCTACATTTTCAACAATTACAGTAACGAATTAAGTGTCACTAGCATGATAAATAGGCTTAACTGGATACCTCTATACCAACAAAGAGTAAACATCAGATTATGCTTATTCTACAACATTGTTAATGAACTTTTAGCAATTCCAACAGAAACCTACCTGGTTCCACTATACAGACCATCTAGACACTACAATACTATGGCATACACTATCTTCAGCCTAAGACCTGACTTCTTCAAATTCTCATTCATCCCAGGAGTAGTAATATAAAAATAAGTAGATGTGGTATGATTGCTATCCACCAAAGTTCAAATGAAGTGGATGTAACAATAGCCTGACTGGAATAAATTACTGGACTCTACAGTGAATGCTCCCACTATAGAAGCTTTCAAGACACTGATTGCATAGATGATGGATTGTTTTTATCCTCCAACTACTGTACAGCATGCACTGTTTTTGATTTTTGATCTTTATTGTAAATAGACATTACCAGCACCTATGCACACACTAGTATTGAGTACTCATTAATGAGTTTAATTACTATATCAAAGAAGAAGAAGAAGAAGAAGAAGGGGAACCTATCAAACTGAATTTGTGGATTTATCTACAAATGACAATATTTGATTAGTTTAAGCATTTCTTGAAAACTCTTCTAGATAGAGAGAAACTATGAACATCCAAACAAAATCTATATGATATTAATATGTAACAAAATTGTCAGACTGTCAGATGTCAGACTTCTTATTCAAGGGTAATCGTCCTTAAAATATTCTCCATCTGGATCAAACTTAGTCACAATCTTACCTTTTGTGTTAAAGATTACTGCCACTGTTTATAATGTTTTTGATGTTACATATTTTTAACAGGTGAGCTATTCCAGCTGCTAGGAACATCTAGTTATTAAATTCCTTGCAGGTGAACTGGTTCAGTGCAGGAATACATACATTTTCTGAGTTTCAAATGTTCATACCTTTGGAACCTTAGCATTTTAAACTTATTACCTGTTAAATTATATTGGAAATTCCTCATTAAACTGAAATTCAGTATGATATAAATTCTATTTTGGAGATTCTTTTTCAGATTTTAAAGAAGTTTTGCCAGAAGTTGATAAAGCAATAAAAGAATGTTGTTTCATTGCAATAGATGGTGAATTTTCAGGTAGATATATAATCAATATAAAAATACATTCTTGTAGTTATCCTTAAGTATTTAAATAAATTCATTTTGCTGGTATATGTTTATATTATGTTAATGTACTAAAATATATGATGTTAAAATTAAATTAACTTTAGGTCTAAATAGACTTTTTTTTTAGTTGTCTAATGCTAAAACATAAGTCATGTGCTTTGCTAAATTTTCTTACAACAAAATTTGGTTGACCAAAATAAAAAATCATTTAAATGACCATACAATACTGCGGTTTAGTGCTTGTGATTTACTTTAGCCATGTTAGCCACTAACCATATATGCATTGTTCTAATAAAAGTTATATTTGTTCTACAATCATTTGCAGAAAATATGTTCATGATGCTACTACACAGGGGCTCTAAGAGTCTTTCACAAGAAATCTTACAACAAAAAATAATCATACATATACTGAAATGTTGACTTGAGAGTATTTTTCTTGTACGTTTTTTTGTGAAATTGATTGCATGGCTTTTAACATTGTCTTTTGGGCTAGTTTGTTGAACAGTTTTTTGGTGTTTAACATTAATATTAAGTACACAGTCATCAAAATTATAAAACAAACGCAATACATTTTGTAGATTATAATTTGCATAGTCATGTAAAAGAATGTTTCAATAGTAAGAGCAGAAAATACATGATACATGTACATGTAGATCAAAAGTGAACAGTCAGAATTGAGGTTTTTGGATTCTCAAACTAGTTAATATGATGCTTATTGACTTAGTCATGTTTGAGTAGAAAAAATCCCAGAAATCACCTAGAAAAAGAAGACAAAATGGAATTTCAGTCAGAAAGATCTGTATTAACAGAGAAGTCAGTACACGTATTACCAGTCAATGATTTGCATATTGTATTTTGTAAAGGTTTGGATGCAGCAAACCACAGCCACATTGCACCCTTTGATACACATGAAGAGAGATATGGTAAAGTAAAAAAGGTAACAGTATTATGCAAATGTTGTCATCTATATAAACATATATTTTTAGTGTTTTAAGTCAGATTTAACCAATGAGCATCTTGAATTTTCTACAAAATTATCTATCATTAAAGGCAATATTGCAAAATTATATTTTAAAAAAGTTGGGACTCTTTTTTATAGCTCCGTTTTTAGCTCACTTGGCCCAAAGGGCCAAGTGAGCTTTTCTCATCACTTGGCGTCAGTCGTCCGTCATCGTTAGCTTTTTACAAAAATCTTCTCCTCTGAAACCACTGGGCCAAATTTAACCAAACTTGGCCACAATCATCATTAGGGTATCTAGTTTAAAAAATGTGTCCGATGACCCTGCCAACCAACCAAGATGGCCACCATGGCTAAAAATAGAACATAGGGGTAAAATGTAGATTTTGGCTTATATCTCTGAAACCAAAGCATTTAGAGTAAATCTGACATGGGTAAAACTGATTATCAGGTCAAGATCTATCTTCTAAAATTTTCAGACAAATCTGACAACCTGTTGTTGGGTTGCTGCCCCTGAATTGGTAATTTTAAGGAAATTTTGCAGTTTTTGTTATTATCTTGAATATTATTATAGATAGAGACAAACTGTAAACAGCAATAATGTTCAGCAAAGTAAGATCTACAGTACGCACAGAGAGTTTGTAATCGCGAACTCTAATCACGGATTATACTCCCAATTTCCTCCAAAGATTCTCTCCCAACACCGCGTGGCTGTTAATTGGTTTATTGCCCATCGGATGGACTGAAAATTAATGACGCGTGACAACATAATCGGATTAGCCAGATTTATTACCTTTGTACATTTAATCGATCTTGATTGCACCTGTGTGCTTTAAAACACGGTATTAAAATTTCCTTTCTTTGACAGATAAAAATGTGACATTTTCATTCAAAATAAGATAATTATTCTTGTATGTATTTGCCCCATGTCATTGTCATTTGAAATAATTTTTGTTTTTTCAACAAAGACAATTTTACTACAATTAGAATCTTTTATGACCTACTCAGTGAGCAATATCCGGTTCATTAATTGTTCAATATATAAATATCAACTGGCTTAAAACAAAATGATGTTTTTACGGTAATTTGTCCAATCTAAACCCAAGAGTTAATTTATCGGATCAACAAGTGAACTCTGTTACTTTCAATTTATTTTGCAATGTAAAATATTATGTTTCACTACCTCGGTAGATTACCGACTTGAAATATTTGAACTCAGAAAAGAAACTGTAAAGTGACAACTCTGTTGAACGAAGGGAAAACGTTTTGTATGCAATGTGCCCTATATTCATAAAAACACAACACTGAGAGACGTTCCCCGCCCAGACACAACACAATAGTCACAACCTAATTTAATTATATGAAGAAAAAAATATCATGTGTTGTTTATCTCTGTTATGATCTGTTATTCTGTCCTTTATTATTTAAAATAAAATTGGATGGGCACAATCCGTATTTTACTGCTCGTTAAGAGTCCTTGGCGAAATAAAAAAAAGAAGTATTTCAACAATTAATACTATAGAATATTTAAATGAAATTATATCGTGTTCTACAAGAAAAAAATATGTGAAAAAAATGTGGATTGGATTTTTACGATCTACACATTTTCACAGAGGATCTCTACCAACGCCAACAGGAACTGAACGACATGCATCCTGTTTTCATCTACCATTTATGTATATTGTTGACCATGGACGTATAAATAATGTCCAGGTTTATGTTCTGTGTTGACTGAGAAACGTAAAATTAAAAGGCTGGTGTTCGTTTATTCAGAAAAATATTATATTTTAGATTCCGGTTAATCAATTGTAAAAGGCCCTTCTAGAGCCTCAATCTTAAGGCATACACATGTCAATCATTCCAAAGCAAATTTAAACCCCGAATGAATTTTCCCACGGTCATCCAGAAAGGTCACCTGAGTTTACTGTTACGTGATAATATTTCCCGCCAAATAAAAATCTCGTGGTCAAAATTGATGTCACTATTTTTAGCATTCAATATTGTGAGCGAAGTCAAGTTCAAAGTTCAACCACGGACTGTTGATCACTGAGATGTGTATCGTCTTCCCACGGCAATTAATTTCTTTTAAAAAATTTAAAAATCACTGTCCTTTATACAACACACAAGTTTACATTCATTGTGCGTAAATGAATATTATGCAACGACGAGTTGATGCAGCTATATATAGAAGTATTCCTGTTGTAGCCGAAATGTAATTATTTATCCTAAAGTAATGCCAACAAATCTTAAAGAGAAAATGCCGTAGACTTATTAAGCATAACGAATGGTGAATAGTATTTTCTTTTTTACTTGCATATACAAATTTTCTTTAAACTGCTCACTTTTATATTCAGCGTTAGTTTCCGTTTATTTTTACGCAAGTATGTCTCTTTTCGTAAATAAAATAATTTACCGATGAACTTAAACAAGGTCAAAATCTAGTATAGTTTTTGTTATAAAACTTTAATGCAATGGAAAGAATTAACAACAACATTCTGCTTTTAAATCTTTAATTTGTTTCAAGCAATTATGTAATTGTAAAATGAAAATGGCGTGGACTTATTAGCATAACGAATAGTGAATAATATTTTCTTTTTTACTTGTATACAAAACTTTGAGACATGTAATTTTCCTTTAAACTGCCCACATTTATTCAGCGTTAGTCTCCGTTTATTTTTACACAAGTATATCTCTTTTGAATTAAATATTAATTTACTGACCAGAAAAAAAAACGAGGTAAAAATCAAATATAGTTTTTGTCGAGCCTGCGACTTTTGTCGCAGAAAGCTCGACATAGGGATAGTGATCCGGCGGCGGCGGCGGCGTTAGCTCACTTCTTAAAAGCTTTATATTTTAGAAGGTGGAAGGTCTGGATGCTTCATACTTTGTATATGGATGCCTCATGTTACGAAGTTTCTGTCAGTCACATGTCCAATGTCCTTGACCTCATTTTCATGGTTCAGTGACTACTTGAAAAAAAAGTTCAGATTTTTTGTAATGTTAGATTCTCTCTTATTATAAGTAATAGGATAACTCTATTTGGTATGTGCGTACCTTGCAAGGTCCTCATGCCCGTCAGACAGTTTTCACTTGACCTCGACCTCATTTCATGGATCAGTGAACAAGGTTAAGTTTTGGTGGTCAAGTCCATATCTCAGATACTATAAGCAATAGGTCTAGTATATTCGGTGTATGGAAGGACTGTAAGGTGTACATGTCCAACTGGCAGGTGTCATCTGACCTTGACCTCATTTTCATGGTTCAGTGGTTATAGTTAAGTTTTTGTGTTTTGGTCTGTTTTTCCTATACTGTATGCCATAGGTCTACTATATTTGGTGTATGGAATGATTGTAAGGTGTACATGTCTAGCGGGCAGGTGTCATCTAACCTTGACCTCATTTTCATGGTTCAGTGGTCAAAGTTAAGTTTTTGAGTTTTGGTCTTTTTTTCTAATACTATATGCAATAGTTCAACTATATTTGGTATGTGCGTACCTTGCAAGGTCCTCATGCCCGTCAGACAGTTTTCACTTGACCTCGACCTCATTTCATGGATCAGTGAACAAGGTTAAGTTTTGGTGGTCAAGTCCATATCTCAGATACTATAAGCAATAGGTCTAGTATATTCGGTGTATGGAAGGACTGTAAGGTGTACATGTCCAACTGGCAGGTGTCATCTGACCTTGACCTCATTTTCATGGTTCAGTGGTTATAGTTAAGTTTTTTTGTTTTGGTCTGTTTTTCTTATACTGTATGCAATAGGCCTACTATAGTTGGTGTATGGAATGATTGTAAGGTGTACATGTCTAGCGGGCGGGTGTCATCTGACCTTGACCTCATTTTCATGGTTCAGTGGTCAAAGTTAATTTTTAGCTCACCTGGCCCGAAGGGCCAAGTGAGCTTTTCTCATCACTTGGCGTCCGTCGTCCGGCGTCGTCCGGCGTCGTCGTCCGTCGTCGGCGTTAACTTTTTACATTTTGAACTTCTTCTAGAGAACCACTGAATGGAATGAAACCAAACATGGCATGAATCTTCCTTATGAGGTGCTGACCAAGTGTTGTTACTTTGTAGCCTATCCATCATCCAAGATGGCCGCCAGCGGGGGACTTAGTTTAACATAGGACCCTATGGGAAATGCATACAAATGACTTCTTTTAGAGAACCACTGAATGGAATGAAACCAAACATGGCATGAATGTTCCTTATGAGATGCTCACCAAGTGTTGTTACTTTGTAGCCGATCCATCATCCAAAATGGCCGCCAGCGGGGGACTTAGTTTAACAAAGGACCTATGGGAAATACATACAAATGTCTTCTTTTAGAGAACCACTGAATGGAATGAAACCAAACATGGCATGAATCTTCCTTATGAGATGCTGACCAAGTGTTGTTACTTTGTAGCCGATCCATCATCCAAGATGGCCGCCAGTGGGGGACTTAGTTTTACATAGGACCCTTTGGGAAATACATAAAAATGTCTTCTTATAGAGAACCAATAAATGGAATGGAACCAAACATGGCATGAATGTTCCTTATGTGATGTTGACCAAGTGTTGTTACTTTGCAGCCGATCCATCATCCAAGATGGCCGAAAGCGGGGGACTTAGTTTAACATAGGACCCTATGAGAAATACATACAATTGTCTTCTTTTAGAGAACCACTGAATGGAATTGAACCAAACATGGCATGAATGTTCCTTATGAGTTGCTGACCAAGTGTTGTTACTTTTTCAGTCGATCCATCATCCAAGATGGCCTCTAGGGGGGGGGGGGGCTTAGTTTAACATAGGACCCTATGGGAAATACATACAAATGTCTTCTTTTAGAGTACCACTAAATGGAATGAAACCAAACATGGCATGAATGTTCCTTATGAAGTGCTGACCAAGTGTTGCTACTTTGTTGCCGATTTACTGTTCAAGATGGCCACCAGGATATTTTATAAAATAACGGGACCAATATTAATCAAAATTTGGCCTCAATCATTATTTGGGTATCTGTTATGATTTTTATCTATCTTTACATGATTTCTAAAACAAAGTAGAGTCAGGTGAGCGACACAGGCTCTTGAGAGCCTCTAGTTTGAGTTTTGTTCTTTTTTTCTAATACTATATGCAATAGTTCAACTGTATTTGGTGTATGGAAATATTTTATGATCTATTTGTCAGTCACACAGTTTTTTTTTTACCTTGACCTCATTTTCAAGGTTCATTGCTCAGTGTTAAGTTTTTGTGTTTTGGTCTGTTTTTCTTAAACTAAAAGCAATAGGTCAACTATATTTGTTGTATGGAAGAATTGTTAGCTGTACATGCCTGCCTAGCATGGTTCATCTGACCGTGACCTCATTTTCATGGTTCATTGGTCAATGTTTAGTTTACTTGGTTAATAATAAGTTTATGTCACAGTTGTAATAAAGCTTTATATTTAGGACTATCAACATAATATCAATGATAAGTAAAGAAGGCGAGACATTTCAGTGTGTGCACTCTTGTTTTTTAATAAAACTATTTTTAAATGTACAGTGAAATTGAAAGAAACAACAACGTTTTGCTTTTAAATCTTTTATTTGTTTCAAGCAATCAGAAATATAACCTGATTATCAATAGACAGGAAATACAATTGTTTAATTACATAAGTAATCTCACATACCTTGACTGTCGTGTGCCGGTATAGATCAGAAGGATTAGGGCAATTAATTACCAGGTGTGACACCGCGTCACACCGGACTGGGAGAGATGTCGCTAATACAATAAACAAAAGGTAGCGAATTTACGCGGAAGTCGGAGGGAATACTCCCAAATTTCTCCGAGAATTTAGGGAGGGATGTCGGAGTTTCCTGGTGTCACACCAAGAAAAAACTTGGTGTTCGGAGTTTGGGAAGCCTTTCGCGAAATGTGTACTGTACAAATAAGTTGTCATGACCAAAATTGTCAGTCGACCCCTTTAGGAGTTATTGCCCTTAATAGTAAATTTTTAACAATTTTTCGTAAATTTTTGTAATCTTTTACAAATATCTTCTTCTCTGAAACTACTGAGACAAATTTAACCATACTAGGCCATAATCATTATTAGGGTATCTAGTTAGAAAAATTTGTCCGATGACCCCGCCTTCCAACCATCATGGCCGACTTGGTTAAAAATAGAACATAGGGGTAAAATGCAGTTTTTGGTTTATATCTCTGAAACTAAAGCATTTAGAGCAAATCTGACAGGTGGCAAAAATGTTCATCAGATTTAGATTTATCTACCCTGAAATTTTCAGACGAATCCGACAACCCGTTGTTGGGTTGCTGCCCCTGAGTTAGTAATTTTACAAAAATTTTGCTGTTTTTTGTTATTATCTTAGATATCATTATAATATCTAATATCTAATACTATTAATTATGATTTTAACCTTATTTTACATGATTTCCAAAGTATCAGTAAATACAGGTGAAAAACACAGGCTCTTGAGAGCCTCTAGTTTTAAGTACTTATCAAAACAGTTATTGTAGTTAGTGTGTGCTTTGAAATTTCGGAAGTGATGTGTTTTGTTTTTTCAACAAAAACTGTTTTATTAGAATCACTTCCAGATCAGTTGAAAGACAGAAAATTGATTGTAATTGATCAAATTGCTAGTTGTTTCATTGTTTTGTTTATCTTTTGTCTTTTAAGTTTCTGTAAGAAATTTTAATCTGTATGTTATATTAAGTTGTGACTTGACAACTATGTCACATTTGCTGTGTGGATAAGAGGACATATATCTGTTAATTTTTTGGGTGGGGCTATGATTTTACCACCCTGGTTTTCATGCCAAAATGATTTAGAATAAAAATACTTTTGAAAATGATATTCTTGTCTTGAAAATAATACAATACATTTAAATTTTATTCTTTAAAAAAAAATCTTTTCAATTGATTTTCTTGAGATTTTAAAGAAGGATTATTCAATAATAAATTTGTAAAATAATGATTATTTCAGAGTTGTAGTGATTTCCTGATGTTCCAAGTTGGCATTTGCACTTTTAAATACAACCAGAAAACAGAAAGGTAATGAATATGATACATCTTTTACAGAAGTGACAAAGAAAGAAATTCAACCATTGACAAAAACACAAGAGTACTGAAAAGGACACATATTTGGATAGTCATTGCAGTATCATATATCATTTTAGTAATAAACATGATAAATTGAAAATTAATTCATAAAATCAAAGTTTGAATCAAATTTCAATTTAGGGCTGTTCCATAAAATCATATAAAGGACTAAGAGAAGGAATTTTGAAATCTCAACTTTTGGTGTGTGTTTTTGTACAGTGAAAGTGTAAGAGAAATTCAAAATTAGATAACTAATGTAAGGATGCATAAATGAGAATGTAGCAGCATACCACAAAAAAATAAACCACATTGACCTACATTTTATGCTTCACTGACTTATATTATGTTAAACATCCAAGTTCAGATCTCATATATTTCATGCCTGCAATATCATAACATTTTGTAAGGCTATATGACAGGGAGTGTAGCAGCATATTACAACCAATATGTTACTCTGGTCCTACATTTGACTATGCATATTTAAGTTTTAAATTCTGATTTTCTTTAATTTTGCTTTGATCTTTTCGTGATAATTTTCCAGCTCAAGTTTTATGACTAAGAATGGTTTTTCTCTGTTGAGAATGGAGCAAACATGATGATGACATAAGCCAATGTCAGTGGCTTTGCCTAGGAAAATAGTGATAAACTGATTATCTTTGGTCTTTTTACTCTAGGAAGCTGCATCTTCATTTCAATGGTCAATAAATAATAACTATTTTGTAAATCATACCCAAAACCTTCTAGAGCAGGATTATAATGATGCAAAGTGACATTGATTCAAAGTATGACTGTAGAAAAAAGGGAGGGTCTTTATAGGATGTTATCCAGATTTTTTGGGGAAATACTGAAACCACTAGGAATGTAAATTATTTGATTATTGCAAAATGGGATATTTTGAAAAAAAAAGAAGTAAAATATAGAAGTTTATTCCTTTATGTTGTAGGTATGAAGCCAGACCATTCAATTTCTATGTATTTCCTCGACCACACTCTCGAGTAGCTCCAGATCTCAGATTCCTATGCCAAGTATGTTGTGTATAAATCACATTTTTATAGCAATTTAACTGTAAAAGATCAAATATATTCAGCATATGGTACGACAAAAAGTTTCTGTTTCATTGAGGTTAATGAGATAAATAACAAAGTAGTTAAGTTATTGAACATTTGCACAAGAAATAATTGTCAAGGATTTCAGCATTTTTAGATGAATTTTCTTTCCTGAACAACTGAAAAATTGAAATTGACCTACTGAAATGTGTGGTAGTATAACTTCACCAGAACATTTTTTGTACTGTCCATAATCAAAGTCAATGTACCTGTGCGCAGAGTTTTTATCTGGTGAATGGCTATTTAAAACATCTTTTTTCGAACTAAGGAACTACTTTGGTCTTCATGTTATCCTAATCCAAACACATTAGAAAAATAAATTGATGTAATCTGACGACAATTACCAACTGATCAAGTTAAAAGCCAGTAAGTCAACTTCTTTATTTTGCATTTGGACTGCAGACATTTCTTGCTTGATGTGATCTTCATCTGGATGTTTGTTTTTATAGAATGAATACTGGGCTGTGTTATGCTCTTTGGTCGGGTTGTTGTCTCTTTGACACATTCCCCATTTTCATTCTCAATTCTATTGATATTCAAACTAAGCTAATGTCATAGAAGTAGATATCTATAGTCTGCATGTTTGGTTAATATTATTTTTTAAATGTAATAAAACAACAACATTTCGAAGGATTATGTGTTATTTTTATTAGATTGAAATATTTCAGTGTGTAGTCATGTTATTATCAGGACCTGAATCATGTTGATCAAATAAAAGTACCTTGTAATCCTATGAAGTGTTGTCATTTTTGATATATAGCTTGTGTTTCGAACAGTTTAATATAATGATGGACCAAATTTTCTCGTTTGAATTGTTTTACATTTGTCATTTTGGGGTCTTTTATAGCTGACTATGCGGTATGGGTTTTGCTCATTGTTGAAGGCCGTACAGTGACCTATAATTGTTAACTTCTGTGTCATTTGGTCTCTTGTGGAGAGTTGTCTCGTTTGCTATTATACCACATCTTCATTTTATACAAACAGTAATTAATATAACAATCTGCAGTTTTGTAAAAAAAGTTATATGATTGCAAGACATGTTTTGAAGTCAAAGTAAATAATTACAAGTTTAATTTTTGTAGGCATCTAGTATAGATTTCTTAGCATCACAAGGTTTTAACTTCAATAAAGTCTTCCTAGAAGGTATGTACTGTATATTATAACTTTAAATCCTATTCTAAAATTTCTTAGAACTAAAAGTAAATTGATTTTCTGTTCCTCACCATTCAGTTTGATGCACATCATATAGTGAAAAAACCTCCTTGGTAGTATCTTGATTGCATGCTCACCTGGAGGGCAGGAGAATGTGGGTCCAATCCCAAGCTGGGTCAAACAAAGACTGGAAAATTGGAATTTGCTGCTACTCAGAGAGAGAATGATGTGTATGTAGTGTAACATGTCTTCCAGTGGACTGAAACTTTGTGAACTAGCAACTTTAAAATCAAGCTCAGCGTGCTGGTTAATTACAAAGCAGGGTTCATATTCATATCACATCAATATGTTCTAGTCTTGATATGTAATATTTTCCACTGGACGAAGATGTAGTGCTATTTGGTTTCCTGGTGGTCACTTAACAGCCTTGTGCTGTCACAGTTTCAAATAATATAGCTAATAAAACTCTAATAGGTATATTTTTTAAACAAATCTCTTGTTTCTATTATATAAGAAAGCCATAAAAAATGTAATTTATTTTTCGTAGGTATATCATATCTGACACCAGAACAGGAGGGAAATTTAAGAGATGTCCTACAACAGAAACATAGAGAGGTTTCACTGTTTTCATCACCAGCCTTTACTACTCCTGGTACAGATGAACAGGCAGGGGTAACTAAAGGTCCTATACATATACCAGATGAACAGAAAGAATTCATTAGAAAGAATTGGTAGGTTTAATATGAGAAGGTCACAGTTCTACTATTTTTTTTTCAGTTTTTGAGTTGTTGCCCTTTAGATATCCATTTGAAATTTTTGTCATTGGGTCGTTGTCTCATTGATGTATACCCCATAACTCCTAATATTCTTATTGAAAAATATTCCAGTTGTCATAGAGAAATATTTTTCCGAAGGAAACATAGGAAGCATGGATGGCTTCAAACTAACATGGAGTTTCACCAAGTGATGTTAAAACAATTTCAGAATTTCCATGACCAAATAAGAAGTACATCTCATACATGATTGCATATACTTTACACAGCTTTTCCATGATATATATTTGACAGATGCAAACAATTTTCTTATTGATGCTAATACTGTTTTCAAAATAATAGTCTAACTGTTAACCATCGCTTAGTAAACAGTCATTATGACTTTTATAGATTAGATTGTTTATTCTTGTTTCAGTGTCATGATAGTGCCAGGTACTTATAAGGCTTCTAGAATTTATCCTGTAGTTGGCTTTTTCAGCTGACTATATAAAAAAAAGGAGATGTGGTATGATTGCCATTGAGACAACTATCTACCATAGTTCAAATAAAGTTTATGTAAGCAACTATAGGCAACAGTACAGCCTTCAACAATGAGAAAAACTCATACCGTATGGTCGGCAATAAAAAGCCCGGACATGAAAAATATGAAACAGTTCAAACGAGAAAACTAACGGTCTAATTTATAATAAAATGATTTATGAAAAACATATATGACAAACAAGAACCAACGACCATTATGGTCCATTAATGTTTTAAAATTCTCACTTGAACAATACTATGTGTTAATGTTGTTATTGATGATGATTGCATTTGGTTTTTTTTCTTGTTTCAGTGAGTTCATACAGAATTTTATGGATGAACCAGTAAAAGACACATTGAATTTACCACCTAGTAATGGTTTTCAGAGAAAGTTACTATACCAAACTATTAGACAAAAGTAAATATCACTTTGATTTTACATGGCTTATTTGTGGGTAAAAACTCAGGGAAGAAATATATTTAAGAAAGTACATGACAATAAAAATAAAACTTTATAAATTTTATGTGTCTGAAGCACTTTTTGATTTACCTTCACTAAAAAATTCTCAAACCCAAAACTTTAAACACCAAGGATGGATAACTAATAGAATACGTAAGTAGCTTGTTAACTAAAGGGACGGAAAAAGAATATTCTAATTCCTCTATTAAAGGTGAACTTTGCCTGAGCTCGAGGGAGTTTGAATCTCTATTATAGGTGAACTATGCCTGAGCTGGAGGGAGTTGGAACCTCTATTACAGGTGAATTATGCCTGAGCTCGAGGGAGTTGGAACCTCTATTACAGGTGAACTATGCCTGAGCTAGAGGGAGTTGGAACCTTTATTACAGGTGAACTATGCCTGAGCTCGAGGGAGTTGGAACTCTATTACAGGTGAACTATGCCTGAGCTTGAGGGAGTTGGAACCTCTATTACAGGTGAACTATGCCTGAGCTCGAGGGAGTTGGAACCTCTATTACAGGTAAACTATGCCTGAGCTCAAGGGAGTTGGAACCTCTATTTAAGGTGAACTTTGCCTGAGCTCGAGGGAGTTATATTTCTTTAAATGCTGTGTTGAATAAAAGTTAATTTAAAAACTGCTTTTAAATGTTCAAGTTAAGTTGATTTTGTTTCAGATTTACAGGTGTTCACTTAGAAACAAAAACGGGAGAGAAAAAGGAGAGATATATCGTAGTAACGAGAGTTAAGAGTGAAGATGAATTAAAGAAGAAAGAAAAGGAGAAACAAGCTGCAGAAATTGTAAGAAAACATGACATCATTACTGTATATCTGTTTAAGTGTAATTATAGAAATACTACAGGTTTTGTGTTTTTATGCCTCTTCTACTAAGGCCACAAAAAAAAATACTAGATTCTCAGGCCCAGCCGCATCCCTAAAAACACTCCCGCGTCGACAATTTTTATTTTCTTCAAAATATGGAATTTTTTCATATCAGGTCCGATATTAATTTTGTGTTTATGAATAACTTAACAGAGTCGTCTGTGCGCTTTCTGAAAATGTAAAGGTTATGTTTCTATTGAGGCTGTTAATTAACATTGACTAGACATTGTAGAGTGGAACGAGATGACTTTAATTTCTTGCCAAATCTCACATAGGAGCAAAGTTTTGATGCCATGATCAAATTTTCCTCAGAATGTAACTTTTCGGAATTGATTTTGTCCTTAAAAAATGGACAAGTAGGTCCAGATAGATGGACATTTACAGAGCATTTACAGAAGCTGAACACACATAGTGACCCATATTAAAATATGCGCTCAAATTTTCAGGTCATGAACATTTTATAGCTGAAACACGTATATCTAGTACATTAAAACTCATACCAAGAGTTCTTCATCTTGAAAATACACATTTGTGCCTTGGAAGGGTAAGCAGATCATGATTGATAAGATATATCTAGACAGCTGAAGCATTAGATTTGATGAAATTTCTTGAAAAAAAGAAAGACAACTTTCTTCTTCTGAAAAAAAAAAAAAAAGGGTCTCCCTCCCTCATCCATATTTTAAAAAAGTGGCCTGAGAACCTAGGTGTTTTTCTTTGTATGGCCTAAGTGCCTTAGTGGCTTGGTCATTTTATGTTTTCCATGTCTGTCCTTCCATCTGCTGAAATCAAACAGTTGTCGGAACTTAACAAAATTACTTCATATTTGATCTGCATTTTGACAGTGAATTTGTTAAGTGTGAGCACTTTTACTGATCTGTCAGTTACCTACTGCCTCTTTGCCAATACTTTGAATTTTTCAAAATGTTGAACAAATTAAAAAAATTTCGTCAATTGCTTTTGAACATAATGACTTCTTTCAAGTTCAAAAGTGATGAGTTGTAACTTGTGTGGGCTTTCATGATTTGGCAGCAGATGGGGGTACTCACATCATACCAACACATCTTGTCTTAAGAACAAATAAATTTTAAAGGCAACAGTTTGGTTTATTTACACACACAATATAACAACTGTTTATGTATCGTGAATATTTATGAGGTTACATATCATTGAGTTTATGTTAATGATACAAGTTATCATTATTGTCTGCACATTAACTTGATTATTGAGAGTCATAAATAGAAAATTATAAATTGCTGTCAATTAAAGGGTATTATTAAATACTTAAGTTATGACTAAAAACTTCAGGCATAAAAAAATAATGCTAAATATGAAATGTCACTTATATGCAAAACTTGGATCTTCCTTACATTCTTCATGAGAATTAGAAAATAGCAAAAATAAAATTGCAGCGAAACCAAGAAGAATATGCTGATCATGAAAAAAAAAAGTATCATCATAATTAAGTAGGTTTACAATAACCAGAAGCCATCTCAAGTTCAATATAGAGTCTTCAACAATAGACAGGTGTCTATATAATATCTAAATCACACTGAGTCGTAAAAAGTCTGGAATTAATTTATCAGAGACTATCTAAGATCTGCCATTAAAGCAGAAATCCAGAAACAAACAAAAATGAAAATATTACAAAAGACAACCTCTGACAATGTTACTGACACAATTATAGCACAAAATATTCGTTATTGTTCCAGTTCATATACATAGGTTATTGATTAATGAAAGAAGATATGGGATCCTCTTTAAAAGGGACACTTGTAAACTTTTTATCACTTGTTGAACAACTAGAATGCTCAATTAGATCCGACTACAGTTTTAAAACATTCAAAATCAAACATAGTGAAAATAATATGATACGTCAAAGCTATAATATTAGCTGTATTTGGCAACACCTTTCAGAATTCTGGTCTTCAATGCTCTTCAACTTTGTGCTTTGTTCAGCCTTTTTAACTTTTTTATTTTCGAGCATCACTGATGAGTCTTTTGTAGACGAAGCACATGTCTGGCTTACAAAATTTTAATCCTGGTATCATTGATGAGTTTATATATTTTTTCTCACTGTCAGAGTGTGCATGGACCGAAGAGTTATATAAGCACAAGTTATTTATATCATTATATTACAGGCTGAAATAGATGATGCTGTGGGGTTTACACAAGTTATAAAGATGATTTCTCAAAGTGTAAGTCAATTATCCAGAATATTTATGGCATTTTGTAGTAAGTTGAATATTTTGGTTTTTTATTACAGGAATAGAGGAATAGAATTAATAAAATAGAAAGTGTATAATGTAAATTATAAATACAATGTAAATGTAACACTTTTTGTACATGTATATGTGTTGCCTATTTTAAGTAATAATTACATTAGGTACAAATGTTGTGTAGACAATATCATGAAAGGTGTTTTTTGTGCCCCTTTTTGAGGGGGCATTAAGTTTTACCTTTGTCCATCTGTACGTCCCAAAACTACTTTCTGTTCTCTAACTTTAGTTTGCCTCAACCAAAAGTTATGTAACTTATACACAATGCTTATTACCACCAAACACAGATCAAGATAGAATATGGGTGGCATCATTTACAGTTCTCTAGTTATGTCCCTTTATAAATTGAAAAATTGCAAAATTGGCAACACTTACTTTACTTTGCCACTCCCAAATTTCTTTAAACTTATACACCTTGCTTATTACCACTAAACACAGATCAAATTCCAATTTTGGTGGCGCCACTTTCACTATTCTTGAGTTATGTTTCTTTATAAACGGAAAAATTGCTTCATTTCCCGTACGTTTATCAGCAGGTTCATTTGCGTGCTATGGACACAATTTTTGTCGAGCCTGGGACTTCTGTCGCAGAAAGCTCCACATAGGGATAGTGGGCAGTGGCAGCAGCGGTGGTGGCGTTATCTAACTTCTTAAAAGCTTAATATTTTAGAAGGTAGAAGACCTGGATGCTGCATACTTTGTATATAGATGCCTTATGATATGAAGTTTCAGTCTGTCATATTTCCATAGTCTTTCACCTCATTTTTATGGTTCAGTGACTACTTGAAAAAAAAGTTAAGATTTTTTGTAATGCTAATTTCTCTCTTATAATGAGTAGTAGGATAACTATATTTGGTATGTGTGTACCTTGCAAAGTCCTCATGCCTGTCAGACAGTTTTCACTTGACCTCGACCTCATTTCATGGATCAGTGAACAAGGTTAAGTTTTTGCGGTCAAGTCCATATCTCAGATACTATAAGCAATAGGTCTACTATATTTGGTGTATTTAATGATTGTAAGGTGTACATGTCCAACTGGCAGGTGTCATCTGACCTTGACCTCATTTTCATTGTTCAGTGGTTAAAGTTAAGTTTTTGTGTTTTGGTCTGTTTTTTATACTTTTTAAACACTTATCATGTTGAAAAAACTACAGCATTCCTTGATATTTCCTTTTATAATCAGTATAGCATGTATAATAATCTTTATTTGTATTTAATTTATTAATTGTTTTGCATGTTTACATAAAAAAATCTAAAAATCAAGAACAATACCAATTTATTGACATGATTGACCTACAATTTGTAAATATATTGTTCTAACAATAAACTATAATCATAGGCCCAGGTTATTCCTTTCACTTAACTAATAATGTCAATGAAGTAAAAGAATGTCCCTTGATTAAATAGCCAAAGGCAATTTTTATTTTAAACCATCATATGCATGTTAGAATATGTTCAGATGTAAAAATGGAATCTTGAAAGTTACTTCAAAGTTCACATGAGGTAACTAAGAAAAATTAAAATTTAAATTAACTTTTTTAGTAGAAACTTGTAATTTATAAAAAAAAAATTTGAAGAATTAAAAAATATATTCATTTGTATCTATATATATATATCTTTATAAATTTTTCCCAATAAAAATAAGAAATGCAATCAAAAATCTAATGATGATTAAATGTAAGAATGCCGTTTGAAATTTGAAAACTTAAAACATAGCTTGTACAAATAATTTCACTGCTAAAAAGTGCATGTATATATAAAAGTTTTATTCTATTCTTTCCTGTTGTCATTTTAATGATGTTATTCTAAATGTTAGAGCTTTTACGTGTCTTTGGACAAAAGTAATTGATATGTAATTAATTACATTGGCAATGTAATTGAAATGTAATTAATTTCATTTGAAAATCAATGTAATTGTGATGCAAATAATTACATTTAAAAATCAATGTAATTGAAATGTAATTAATTACTTTGGCATGTAATTGACCCCAGGTCTGCAATAGGCCAACTATATTTGATGCATGGAATGATTTTAAGGTGTACATGTCTGTCTGGCAGGGTTCACCTGACCTTGACCTCATTTTCATGGTTCATTGGTCAATATAAAATTTCCATGGTTTGGTCTGTGTCTTTTATATTATAAGCAATAGGTCATCTTTATTTGGTGTGTGGAATGATTGTATTAAAGGTGTACGTGTATGTCCGGCTTGGTTTATCTGACTTTGACCTCATTTTCTTGGATCATAAATGTTAATGTGATACTTTTAGTAAAACTTTATATTTAGGACTAGCAACATAAAATCAATGGTCAGTATAGTAGGCGAGACATTTCAGCGGGTGCACTCTTGTTCTTTTATTTCACAGATATCAAATTTCCATGAAATATTGCCGTAATATAACCAATTTCTGAATTTCTAGTAATGGCCATTTGCTTTTTTCATACATTCATACATCACAGATCTATTTCATAAATATTTAATTGATGGTATCGCTGAAAGAAGATATGCTACATACACCATTTTTTGATATTCAGATGCAGTTCAACAAGAGCTACATGAAAATGCAAATAAAAGTTCATAAAAATCTAAATATATTGCCCAATTATGTGTAGATTTTCTCCTATAAATCTAAAGAAATAACTTAAAACTGATCTTTCTGAAATGGTTGTTCTCTTACTGTGTGATTTTTTTTAGTGATTCTACAAGCTTATTTTACCAAATTTTACTACTTTATTAAAAGATTTGACCATTAGTTCTCTTTAGTTATTTCTCCAGTTGGAGTTGTGTCTAAGTGAGCAAAAAAATGAAGTATGTGCAAATAACACTTTTAGTATACCATAAGAGTTTCATATTTGAATATGAAACAACATGTGGTTCAAGTGACACAGTTAAAAGAACTTTATTGTGGTTTCTCTACTTGTTGCACTCTGTACTCTGATTCATATAGGTATTGCCAATACATTATCCTCCAATTGTTGCTTTTCCCTGGAAAAGTTTGACGTCACAAAGCAAATATCTATGTCACAATGTCCTATGACAAGTTTTTCCCCAAATGAGTCCAGGTCAAATGGGGCAGTTCATTCATAAAATCGAAATTGGAATCTTGTGTATGAAAATCTGCTTGTTACCACTCTGACTATTTAAATTTCAGCAAAGGAGAAAAAATATGGAATGACAAAATTTGATTAGCACTGGACAACAGCAATGAAAACTTCAGATTTAAATCTGGATTGAATTTGACAATAGTTGTGTAGGGACTGTAGAAATAATAGGACTTTTAGAAAATGTAAAAATAATAAAAGCACATTAACCAATTATTGGACACATCCAAGTACTTTAGTGTAAATTGATTTTACCCAGTTAGTTATTACAAAAAAATTCTGTTAATATTTGCTTTAAAGTTTATGATATTATTTATTACAGGGGAAGCTGTTACTGGGACATAATATGTTATTAGATATTATCCATATATTGCATCAATTTTATTACCCATTACCAGATGTAAGTTTATGATATTAGATAATTGGTCTTATGAAAATCAGACAGCCAGGTTTTATACGACCGTTTGAGAATTAATTAAAAAATTCTTGAATGATTTGAGAAAATCATTCTTATATATTTTAGGGTCTGAAAAGATGGAATGAAAATCACACAATTGTTAGTAGTACATTTATTCTAAGATAATTTATCATAGAAGTCCAGGAAGATCCAAATAAATACAAGAATCTAAAGATAATATTTACACTGTTTAATCTAAATATTTCATGGATATACATGTACCTTGCACTTGAAATAACTTTACCTAAGTATTTTCTTTTTTGTTCTTTTAGAGTTATGAAGATTTTAAAGCAATGACCCACTGTGCTTTCCCAAGGTTTGTATAATAAATAATGGAGACTAACAATCTTTTTATTTTGCCATAAATAATGTTTTGTTCAATTTGCTCAGAAATTAAATGTGAAATAGGGTTCTATAAAATTCTATCAACTTGTTTTTTAAAAAAATCTCTAAAAGCAATGGCTACATGCTGGAAGTTTGTTTTGAATCAAATATATAGGGAGATAACACATACATTGATAGATGTGGACATGATGGAGTATAAGTTCATGAGATTGCAACACAAAAAGACCGGTGGCCAACAAAGTCTTTAATGAGCAAAAAATCTATTCAGTATGTCCAGGACATATGGCCCTGCTTTTAGACAAGTCATGAATAAGCATAACAGAGACTTGCCCTGCAGACTGGACTAAAATGGCATTTTATACATGCATGCAAATTTAATGAAGACTTTTCAAAAAGTAGTGTCTAAAACAAGGAAGAAACCCCCTCATTGAAGGTCAAGGTCAAAAACTTAGTTCAACTGTAGAAAAATTGTTTCCACTTTAAAACCCCTTGGAGTTGGGTAATGAAAATTGATAATTAATGATAATTCACCACTACTGCTACTGAAAGGTGTGTTAGATAGAAGGAAGAAAGCCATACATTAAAAGTAATGAACAAAACCTTAATTCAACTTAGCCATTACTAAAATTGTTCCAGCTATAAAACCTATTTCAGGATGGGGTCTAATTAGTGGTGCATCAAAAAATGTCTGCCCTCCATGGGTATATGCTATGTTTAAATCAAATAACCTATAACAATGTACTTGTTTGTTTGCTGTTAAAAGGGATAAAAAATGTGAAGATTATTAAAAGCGAAAAACTTGGTTTGTCTTTTAATAAATTGTTAAGATGAAAGTTGTCAAGATATATATACAGCACACCTTTTACGAATTGACATATTTAATGCACGAAAAGCGTAGCTTTGAGTCAATTACATATGTTAATGAGTAAGGCGTGGCTATATATGATTTGTAAAATTTATGGGCGATGACATATGTCAATGGTTAAATGCTGACCAATAAAACTTTACTGTGAATTAAATATGTCTATCAAGTAGTGGCGTGATTATTATGTCTCATTTTCAGAAAATTAACGCACAGCAGTTGTCATAAGAATTTGTATTTCAGATACAGGTATATGTAAAAGAATTGTTGCAGTGAGATTTGCATAGAAGTTTACATACTCAAGAGCCATTTATTTGTTATTGAATAGTTTTATCTCCCCAAAAATTATTGAGGGGGATAGATTTATATAAATTTTATACGATGTTTATCTGCCTTCAAACCTCAAAAATTACTTTTAGATTCAAAGGTGTTAAACATTGTGATGAGAAGGAAATATTTTTTAAAACCAATTATGAAGGTAAATAGATTCCTCCATTCCCATCCAAATGGAAAAAGATCGGTTAATTGACTTGTTGTTGATTGTGTAAGGTCTAGGGACAAATATTTGAGCATGCTGAATATACGGAGATAGACCTTCATAAAAAAGTATATGACTAAACATTCACTGACATATATTTATGGAATATTAATTCTGACATGATAAGAACAGGTCTCCAACTAAATTTTAGGACAGTAGGAAAATTTATGGTCACTTTTATTACATTTTGTTTTATTCTTTCATTATTTACTAGTCCAAGGAGGCGTAGCCAAACAGTGCATTAACAACTTCTGAGATGGGAGTTAGAGCACTTGTTTAAGCTCCTCCCATCCTTTACTATTCCTATGACAAGCGGTCAACGGCGTGATTCAATAGTGCTCTAATTAAAAATCTATTCAGTAAATGCACTTCTCTAAAAATAACAGAAATGAACTCATTCAAAGACCAAAGGAAAAATTACCATTCATGTTACAAGTAAAAGAATGAAGACTGAAAAAAGCTCAGTTGTGGCTTAAAATAAACAGGATAAAGGATGAATGAAAAAAAAAGTATTTTAGAGGATAATTTGTTTAAGAAAAGTTCTGTGCCTAGAAATTTATAGTCTTTCTTTTTTTATATAGAATTGTCGATACAAAACTGATGGGGAGCATGAACCCCTTTAAGGTAAGCAATTATACAGTAGATACAAAACTGATGGGGGTATGAACCCCTTTATGGTAGGCAATTGTACAGTAGAGAAGTAAAACAATTTTGTTTAAAATTGCAAATGTTTTCCTGTGCAAATCTTTTCATGGTTCTCCTTTTTTAAGGCAGTGTAAAGCATTATTTATTGACATGAATTTATGCATTACCTGTATTTGGTCCAAGAAAATCAATAGCCAATAAACATTATGTTGATTACTTGTATTTCATGCTTTTTTTTTTGTCTTCCTGGTTGAATAAATAAAAATATATGATGGATTGATTTAGATGCATATATATTTTTTTATTAAATCTCAATTTTTATATGACATCAGAAAAGTCTTTAACATGATAATTGTTGGCATAATGTTTTTAATACTTTTTTCACAATAACTTTTTAGAGAAGAGAGTACTGAGGAGATAAAGATTTTAATTGAAATTACTTCCAGGGTCAAAGGTTATAATCACAATAGCTATATGCATATATATATATATATATATATATATATATATATATATATATATGATGTTTAAGAAATTATTAGTTTCTGTATGATATCTATCAATATATCCAATCTTTTCTGAACTAAGGATTAAAATGGTTTTAATGAAGATGATGACCTATATTGATTTAGGGTTCAGTAGGTTAAAGATGAAGGTCACAGCAGCTCATATATAAGACTGAAATTTTCAAGAAAGTTTGGTTTCTGGCAACTATTTATGTTCAGAATTAACTATAGTTAATATGGTATTGTTTTTTCTTTTGATTCCTTACATGAATTCTTTTCTAACTTACACCGATACCAATAAATTTAATTTTGCATTTCATAGTACTAACTTTTACTTTTAACTTGTTTTGCAGGAAAAAATTCCAAGTACTGCATTAGGTGATTTGCAGAAGTTTTTAGAATTTCCTCCATTTTGTAAGCCTGAGGTTGGTACGTAAATCATCATTGTTTATTCTAAATATCTTAAAAATTTTATAGGAAAGGTTACAATTTAAACCATCAGGGATACATTTCAATATAGTTACTATTAAAATAGAAGCCAAAATATTACGTACTTTAAAATACATGTATTAGTATTTTAATTGAAAGGGAGACTTTTTAAAAATCCAACAACAGTGTATGGGTTTTCATTTTAAGCTTTGAAAGTTTTTTAATTTGTAAATTGTTTTATGTTTAGTTAATTTTACATGTGTTTTATGAAATATTACAGATTTAGCTGAAGGTTTTAGTAGCTATAACACACCAGACCAACATCATGAGGCAGGTTTTGATGCTTACCTCACAGGACTGTGCTATATAAGTATGACTAACTATCTGGGTAAGTCAAATTAATCTGTATCTCAAGGTTGCTTCAAGTTTTCTCTCAAAATATAACTTCTGAATTGTTCATTTTTGTCGAGCCTTCGACTTTAGTCGAAAAAGCGAGACATAGCGATCCTACATTCCGTCGGTGTCGTCGGCGGCGGCGTCCACAAATATTCACTCTGCGGTTAAAGTTTTTGAAATTTTAATAACTTTCTTAAACTACCTTGGATTTCTACCAAACTTGAACAGAAGCTTGTTTATGATCATAAGATAGTATCCAGAAGTAAATTTTGTAAAAATAAAATTCCATTTTTTCCGTATTTTACTTATAAATGGACTTAGTTTTTCTGCCGGGAAATATTACATTCACTCTGTGGTTAAAGTTTTTAAAATTTTAATAACTTTCTTAAACTATCCTGGGTTTCTACCAAACTTGGACAGAAGCTTGTTTATGATCATAAGATAGTATCCAGAAGGAAATTTTGTAAAATAATAAATCCATTTCTTCCGTATTTTACTTTTAAATGGACTTAGATTTTCTGCCAGGAAACAACACATTCACTCTGTGGTTAAAGTTTTTAAAATTTTAATAACTTTCTTATACTATTTTGGATTTGTACCAAACTTGGACAGAAGCTTGTTTATGATCAAAAGCTAGTATCTAGAAGGAAATTTTGTAAAATAATAAATCCATTTTTTCCGTATTTTACTTTTAAATGGACTTAGATTTCCTGTCAGGAAACAACACATTCACTCTGTGGTTAAAGTTTTTTAAATTTTAAAAAACTTCTTATACTATTTTGGATTTGCACCAAACTTTAACAGAAGCTTGTTTATGATCAAATGCTAGTATCTTGAAGGAAATTTTGTTTTCTTCAAGTTAACATTACATTCAGTCTGCAGATAAAGTTTTTAAACATTTATTAGATTCATAAACTATCCTGGATTTTTACCAAACTTGGACAGAAACTTCTTACAATCAAAAGATAGTATCAAGAGGAATATTTTTATTGATTTACTTCCTCATTTTTGTTGAGCCTGCGATTAACAGAAAAAGTAGGCGAGACACTGGGTTCCGCGGAACCCTTACGAATTTTTATTCCTTAACTTCCTCCTGCTGTTAAGGAGCACATTGTTTGAAAAGGATTTCATCATATGAATCCATTAGTGATATTTACTGCAAAACAGATAACTTTTGTTCAAGATAGAATGATGAAAGGGATAAAATGTTGAATACAACTGACAAGGAAAAATTATATTGATTTAATCTTTATTCAATTCATATCCAAATTAAAATTTTTGTCAACAGAAACATTAAATAAAGGAATCAAGATATGAAAAACTCTGAATAAATTCTATATTGTAAGTGATGAATTTCTTCTTAAAATGCAGACCTGTTTAATGATTATGTTAAAGCATTTAGTCTTTTACAGTTTAAGATATCAAATAATCTGAATGGAATAGCAGTTGTCTCAAATACTAATTTCATTCAGTGCAACTTCTTACATTTTCAGACTTTATATCAGTAAATTTTCTACTCTAACTTTTGAAGGAAGAAAGTAAACTAAAACAAAACTCCCTGTTTATACCAAGTGATCCTATATACCGAAAAGAGACTGTACAATTAAGACAATGAAAGATATAATTAAAAGTGAACAAGAGGACATCTTGACAAGTGGCAATTAAAAATTAGGGGAAGTGAAAGAAGATAACAAGTCTAAAAAAAATGAAAATCTTGTTCTATATACTTTTCTATGATTATTTTTATATGATAGATAAATGAAACAGTTCTATCAGATTTTCAGTCAAATTTTTGACTCCATTTAGATAACTATATTAATCACATGAATTGGGAAGCTTTTTTTATTGAAATAAAGATATGGTGTAAAATACAAACACAGCCTTTTGAACAAGATTGAGTGATAAGTTTCATGTGCATGATGAATTGGGATGTTTATATATACTTTTAGTTATCAAGGTTAGATTCTTGATGCAGAATTAATCAAATTTGGCTTTTTTATGCTCCCAACGCAGGGGGGCATTAAGTGTTACCCTTGTCCGTCTGTACGTGCGTCCAAAAATTAGTTTCTGTTCCCTTACTTTAGTTTGCGTCGACCAAATGTTATGACACTTATACACAATTCTTATTCTCAAGTTAGAATTTGGGTGGCGTCACTTTTACAGTTCTCTAGTTATGTCCCTTTATTACGTTATACGCAAGCCTTTGTCATGTGAATTTCTCACTCATTATGAGTAATAGGATAACTATATTTGGTATATGGGTTCCTTGCAACGTCTACATGTCCGTCAGACAGGGTTAACCTGACCTCTACCTCAATTCATGGATCAGTGATCAAGGTTAAAGTTACGCGATAAGGTCCGTTTCTCAGATACTACAAGCAGCAGGTCAACTATATGTGGTGTATGGAATGATTGTAAGGGGTACATGTCAGACTGGCAGGTTTCATCTGACCTTGACCTCATTTTCATGGTTCATTGGTCAATGTTAAGTTTTTCGGTTTTGGTCTGTTTTTCAAGTACTATAAGCAATAGGTCAACTACATTTGGTTTATGGAATGATTGTAAGGTGTACATGTCTGTCTAGCCGGTGTCAACTGACCTTGACCTCATTTTCATGGTTCATTGGTCAATGTTAAGTTTTTTATGTTTTGGTCTGTTTTTCAAATCAATAGGTCAACCATAATTGGTATATGGAATGATTGTAAGGTGTATATGTCTGTCTAGCCAGTATCAACTGACATTGACCTCATTTCCATGGTTCATTGGTTAACATTTAGTTTTTGTGTTTTGGTCTGTTTTTCAATTACCATAAGCAATGGGTCAACTATATTTGGTGTATGGAATAATTGTAAGGTATACATGTCTGTGTGACAGTTTTTATCTGACATTGACCTCATTGTCATGGATCTTTAAAAATGTTAAGTTTATGTCATACTTGTAGAAAAACCTTTATCTTTAAGACTTTTAACATAAAATCAATAGTCAGTAAAACAGGGGAGACATTTCAGCGTGTGCACTCTTGTTGTAATTTGGTCTGTTTTCCAATTACCATAAACAATAGGTCATCTATATTTGGTGAATGGAATAATTGTAAAGTGTTCATGTCTATCTGTCTTAAGTTTATATGATACTTGTAGTAAAACCTTTATCTTTAAGATTTTCAACATAAAATCTTTGGTCAGTAAAATAGGCGATACATTTCAGCGTGTGTTCTCATCATTAGGTTTCTCATATAGATTGTTTTATTCCATGAGGAACTTGTTGAAAAAATGGAACTAAGCAGTTTAGATCTATGTTTTACATTCTTCCTATAGAAATTAACATGAAAACTTGTTATAAAGAGAAATTTAAATCATTGTAAATCTAAGCAAGAATCAGAAGAATACATTTGAATAAGTGTTATTTATTTGTAAGTAATTTTGTTTCTTAATAAAAGACATATATCAATTCAATATATTTCATACTTCATTTTTATACGACCGCAAAAAAATTTTTGTGGTCGTATATTGGTATGACGTTGGCGGCGTCGTCGTCGTCGTCCAGCGTCGTCGTCCGAAGACCCATTAGTTTTCGCACTCTAACTTTAGTTTAAGTGAATGGATCTCTATGAAATTTTACCATAAGGATCAATACAACAAAAGGAAGGTGGGGATTGATTTTGGGGGTTATGGTACCAACAGTTAAGGAATTAGGGGCCAAAAAGGGGCCAAAAATAAGCATTTTCTAGTTTCCAGACAATAACTGTGGAACGGTGTATGGATCTCTCTGAAATTATACTACAAGTTTCCATACGACAAAGGGATGGTTAGGATTTGCTTTGAGGGGTTATGGCTCAAACCGTTTAAGAATTAGGGGCAAAAAAGGGGGAAAAACAAGGTTGTCCTGGTTAATGGACAAATACTTTAGTACAAAACATAATTTAAAGCAGTGTAAGGGAGATAAATCAAATACATCATTGAAATTATCTCCCTTACACTGCTTTTAAATTATGTATAAAGTAATGGTTAATGAACAATTAAGATAATTTAAAACAGTGTAAGGGAGGTAATCCAAATACAACGTTTTGGTTACTTCCCTTACACTGCTTTTAAATTATGTTTTGTAAAACAGAAAATGGGTAAAAAGAAATTGCGGGGGGTCAATTTTTTTCTCATTTCAGATTTCAGAAATTAAAAAGAATTATTCTTCAAATATTATTTTTTTTTCAAATTTCAAATATTGAAAAATTTCAAGAAGTAATCTTTAATTGCACAGTATGGCGCATTAGATTTGTAAAATCTTTGACCACATTTATTTATTTGTTATGCCGAATCTAACGATGTATTTAGATTTTTAATTTTGGATCCAGTTTTCAAATTGGTCTACATTAAGGTCCAAAGGGTCCAAAATTAAAATTTGTTTGATTTTAACAAAAATTGAATATATGGGGTTCTTTGATATGCTGAATCTAAACATGTATTTAGATTTTTGATTTTTGGACCCCGCTATCAAATTGGTTCTTATTGAGGTCAAAAGGGTCCAAAATTAAACTTTGTTTGATTTCATCAAAAATTGAATTATTGGGGTTCTTTGATATGCCAAATCTAACCGTGTATTTAGATTTTTAATTTTGGGTCCCGTTTTTTAAATTGGTCTACATTAAGGTCCAAAGGGTCCAAAATTAAACTTAGTTTGATTTTAACAAAAATTGAATTCTTGGGGTACTTTGATATGCTGAATCTAAACATGTGTTTAGATTTTTGATTATGGGCCCAGTTTTCAAGTTGGTCCAAACTGGGGTCCAAAATTAAACTTAGTTTGATTTCAACAAAAATTGAATATATGGGGTTCTTTGATATGCTGAATCTTACCATGTATTTAGATTTTTTATTTGTGGGCCCGCTATCAAATTGGTTCATATTGAGGTCAAAAGGGTCCAAAATTAAACTTTGTTTGATTTCATCAAAAATTGAATTATTGGGGTTCTTTGATATGCCAAATCTAACCGTGTATTTAGATTTTTAATTTTGGGTCCCGTTTTTTAAATTGGTCTACATTAAGGTCCAAAGGGTCCAAAATTAAACTTAGTTTGATTTTAACAAAAATTTAATTTTTGGGGTTCTTTGATATGCTGAATCTAAACATGTGTTTAGATTTTTGATTATGAGCCCAGTTTTCAAGTTGGTCCAAGTTGGGGTCCAACAAAATTAAACTTTGTTTGATTTCAACAAAAATTGAATATATGGGGTTCTTTGATATGCTGAATCTAAACATGTATTTAGATTTTAGATTTTTGGCCAAGTTTTCAAGTTGGTCCAAATTGGGGTCCAAAATTAAACTTTGTTTGATTTCAACAAAAATTGAATATATGGGGTTCTTTGATATGCTGAATCTTACCTTGTATTTAGATTTTTTATTTGTGGGCCCGCTATCAAATTGGTTCATATTGAGGTCAAAAGGGTCCAAAATCAAACTTTGTTTGATTTCATCAAAAATTGAATTATTGGGGTTCTTTGATATGCCAAATCTAACCGTGTTTTTAGATTTTTAATTTTGGGTCCCGTTTTTTAAATTGGTCTACATTAAGGTCCAAATTGGGGTCCAAAATTAAACTTAGTTTGATTTTAACAAAAAATGAATTCTTGGGGTACTTTGATATGCTGAATCTAAACATGTGTTTAGATTTTTGATTATGGGACCAGTTTTCAAGTTTGTCCAAGTTGGGGTCCAAAATTAAACTTTGTTTGATTTCAACAAAAATTGAATATATGGGGTTCTTTGATATGCTGAATCTAACCATGTATTTTGATTTTGGACATTGGACCATAATAGGTAAATTAAAAAAATTGAAGTTCTTAGACCACATTCTTTCTGTGTCAGAAACCTATGCTGTGTCAAATATTTAATCACAATCCAAATTCAGAGCTGTATCAAGCTTGAATGTTGTGTCCATACTTGCCCCAACTGTTCAGGGTTCGACCTCTGCGGTCGTATCAAGCTGCGCCCAGCGAAGCATTTTATTATATTTTCAGGTAGTTTACAGAAAAATGCATCTGGTAGAGTTTCTCCGACTTCATCATCGTTAGATCCATATGTAAATAAGTAAGTAGTAAATACACACATATGTAGACCAATATAGTTACAAAAGATTAATCAGACGTATACAATTCTTATTAATTAACAGTACAAGTACTGATGTCTGTATCTGCATTTTAGTCTTAAACAGAACAGAAGTGTGATTTAAAAAGCAGTAAAATGAACCAGACTCAAGAACTGAGTATGGTTAAGATGCACCCAGAGAGCAAGCATTTCTGCTCAAAATGTATCAGTGTATTTTCACTTCTATGTAATAAAATTGTCTATATAATAAAAAAAAAAGGAAAAAAAAGTTATTGAAAATGGCCATAGGTTTATCATATAACACACAATTATTTGCTTACAGATTGTTTTTAATGAGAATGTCTGATGCTCCATATATTGACCTTACAGGTCCTGATTGTAAGTATTGTGAATTGTCTAACGACAAATGTTATAATTTACATAGTCCTAAATCATAATATGAATTTTGTCTGGCATTTCAATCAAGTGTAAACACAACTCAATTGAAAGTCTGAAAGCTGTCATATTAAGAAGGATTTTTAGTCAGTTTGTCTGGTGTCTGAATATATTTATTCAATGATGTCTGCTAGAGTTACAGCCCTTTATACTTTATAAGACTATACACATGATAATACTCTTTTGTGGACTTTTGTATATGAGGGAACATTTGATAATGACATGGAGAGATCATTATATATCTAAAGAAGTTATGAACCCTTTTTAGCTCACCTGGCCCAAAGGGCCAAGTGAGCTTTTCTCATCACTTGGCGTCCGTCGTCCGTCGTCGTCGTCGTTAGCTTTTTACAAAAATCTTCTCCTCTGAAACCACTGGGCCAAATTTAACCAAACTTGGCCACAATCATCATTAGGGTATCTAGTTTAAAAAATGTGTCCGATGACCTCGCCAACCAACCAAGATGGCCGCCATGGCTAAAAATAGAACATAGGGGGTAAAATGTAGATTTTGGCTTATATCTCTGAAACCAAAGCATTTAGAGTAAATCTGACAAGGTAAAACTGATTATCAGGTCAAGATCTATCTGCCCTGAAATTTTCAGACAAATCTGACAACCTGTTGTTGGGTTGCTGCCCCTGAATTGGTAATTTTAAGGAAATTTTGCAGTTTTTGGTTATTATCTTGAATATTATTATAGATAGAGATAAACTGTAAACAGCAATAATGTTCAGCAAAGTAAGATCTACAAATAAGTTGTCATGACCAAAATTGTCAGTCGACCCCATTAGGAGTTATTGCCCTTAATAGTCAATTTTTTACAATTTTTTGTTAATTTTTGTAATCTTTTACAAAAATCTTCTTCTCTGAAACTACTGAGACAAATTTAACCATACTTGGCCATAATCATTATTAGGGTATATAGTTTAAAAATTTGTCCGATGACCCCGCCTTCCAACCATCATGGCCGACTTGGTTAAAAATAGAACATAGGGGTAAAATGCAGTTTTTGGTTTATATCTCTGAAACTAAAGCATTTAGAGCAAATCTGACAGGTGGCAAAAATGTTCATCAGATTTAGATTTATCTGCCCTGAAATTTTCAGACGAATCCGCCAACCCGTTGTTGGGTTGGTGCCCCTGAGTTAGTAATTTTACAAAAATTTTGCAGTTTTTTGTTATTATCTTAGATATCATTATAATATCTAATATCTAATACTATTAATTATGATTTTTACCTTATTTTACATGATTTCCAAAGCATCAGTAAATACAGGTGAGCGACACAGGCTCTTGAGAGCCTCTAGTGTATGTCTTGAGGAGAGTTATGACATTTTTATGCCCCCGCCGTTGCGGAGGGGGCATTAAGTTTTACCCTTGTCCGTCTGTACGTCCGTACGTACGTCCCAAAATTGGTTTCCGTTCTCTAACTTTAGTTTGCCTCAACCAAATGTTACGAAACTTATACACAATGCTTATAATCACAAAACACAGATCAAGTTTGAATTTTGGTGGCGTCACTTTTGCCGTTCTAGAGTTATGCCCTTCTACAAATGGAAAAATTGCTGAATTTTTCGTTTCCATTCTCTTACTTTAGTTTGCCTCAACCAAATGTTATGAAACTTATACACAATTCTTATTACCACAAAACACAGATCAAGTTTGAATTTGGTGGCGTCACTTTTGCTGTTCTATAGTTATGCCCCTCTACAAATGGAAAAATTACTGAATTTTTCGTTTCCGTTCTCTTACTTTAGTTTGCCTCAACCAAATGTTATGAAACGTATACACAATGCTTATTACCACAAAACTCAGATCAAGTACACATTTGGGTAGCGTCACTTTTACAGTTCTCGAGTTATATCCCTGTATAACATTATATGCAAGCAGGTGCATCATCTGTGTTCCATGGACACATTCCCCATTTATTCAACATAGAAGAGAAGTAATATCTGGCTGAACATTACAGTCATGATAAGAAATAAAAACCTGATAAAATAAAGCAACCTTTAAATGGCTTGTTAAAAGATAGATTTAAAAGTCTTATTTGACAGGTTAGTTGACAGGTTAGTGTTCTGCATTGTGAGAACGAGAACTATAATTTAATTATTGAAGAAAAAAATCTTTTTGGGTCATTTCTTATCCTTCCAATGCCAGTAGAATTGAAATAGTAATGTATGTGTATATGTGTTATACATGTAGTATATAAAGGTTATGTGACCTTGACTTTACTGTTTAAAAAGGCTAACAAAGTTTTCATGTCTAGAGGAAGTAAAGTTGTGTTTGAATAATGTTTTTGCAAATATTCAGCCAGATATCAATCATATATTCAGTCATTTCAACAACCAGCCATCCCATCTCAATAACTTTGATGTTCTAGTACACCTCTTTATTTATAAAATGTCATTCATACCAATGCTTGCATAGGTCACCTCTAGTATAATGCTATATTTTATTTTGTTTGCAGTAAAGCTTAAACGAGAGCATGTATTTAATATAAATTTTCCTAAGGAATGGAAAAATGAAGATCTTAATCAGCTGTTTTCTCCATTTGGTAAGTTTCTGTCATCTTATTTATATAATGTTATTCATGTGTTTGTTGATGATTTGATGATGAATTCATTTTAAAAAAGACATACTGCACATGGACTCTGCCCAAAGGAAGGTAGGACCTTGGCTAATAATGATTTCATGGTTCAGCTAGCAAACAAGCTAACCAAAGATACTACCGTTACCTACACAAGTCCATGTGCTGTAAGTGACATTTAAAAAAAAATAATTCAATTATTATCAGTATTCTTTGTCTTGCCTTGACGAAGCCGAAAAAACAAAACTTATGCATGCTGTATCTTGCGGCAGCATCAACAACAAACAAAAATGAATTAGTTTGTGATAAGTTAAGTTTAAGGGGAACCACTAGTGGTAGGTCAATGATATTTGGTATGCATTTGCATTAGCATTGGCATTTCTCATTTCTGTGGAGACAATTTGGCTATGCTCCCTTCAGTGATGGTCTATTGTCTTTGAAAGTTTTGCTAAGTTTGCATGTAAAAGTTTGTGATGAGTTAAGTTTAAGATGAACCACTAAGTCGATGATATGCAGTAGGTATTTGGCCTTGCACCTTTATTCATGGTTCATTGGCAGTAAATGGCACACCATAGATAAATTATTCAACTTCTAGTCAGATCACTATTTAAAGAGCAGTTCAGACTGATTAAAGAAAACTGAATGGTCCTCAGTTTGCTTCAATCATTTTAACACATTTTGTAGAAAAAAATCTGCTATATGATCCTCAGGGTCTTTATGAAATAGATGATGATGATGATAGATGGCTGCTTAATGTCCAGTGGCAAATAAAATGCATATTCAGGACGAGAACGTGTTGATATAATATAAATATTAACACTGCTTTGTACTAGACCAATACGCTGAGGTGGATTTTTAACATGCTAGTTCACAAGGTAACAGTCTGCAGGAAGACATGTCACCTTACCCAGACACATTGTTCTGACTCTGAACTGACCAGTCTTTGCTCTTACTCCTTAATGCCACGTGCTGAGCGGAGAAGCAGCAAATATCAATTTTAAAGTCTTTGGTTTGACCCTGCCAGGTTCGAACCCACGACCTCCCACACTTGAGGCGAAGACAGAGGCAGTTTATGAAATAGATAATCACTGAATATGATTTAGGTAGTTGTTGCCTGTCTAAATATACTTGATTGTCTCTTGCAGGTAATATTCAAATCTCTTGGTTAAATGACACATCAGCATATGTATCATTATACAGAAAAGAAGAAGCTAAAAATGGTAAGTTTTTAGACAAATTATTGGCAGATCTAATATGAGAACTTCAAAGGGTCTTTACTTTTACAAGAATAATGAGATATGAGGAAACCAGATTTGTTGTATTTTGCATTAAGAACCATATTTGAGAGTTTATTATATGAAGAACATTTGTTGGAGAAGAAAATCCAATTTCTTAGATATTTCAAAAAGAACTTGAAATTATATTGCATATCATGGTTAAAAAATAAACTTTAATGACTAAAAAGAAGATTCAAGAATTAATTGCTGATGTTTTAAAAGTTATGAACGAATAGTCAAATAGATATCATTTTGTCCAAAAAAAAAAAAGATACAAATACTAGAACTTGCATATTCAGTTATACAGTACATGTGATTTTGGTAACAAATTCCTTTGGAATTATTGCAATGTGAACAATTTTCAATATCTGAATTTCGATGGTAGTTATTTGTCTATATTTAATATATTTTGGAAGTAGAACATTCTGCATTCTGTCATTAAAAATATTAATCCGTAGTTATCTTCTGTAAAATAATTGTCTAATCTACATGAAATTGGTTTAGATGAATTAAACATATGAAAATAAATTTATTCTCATAGTCCAAAAGTGAAGATTGAATTTTATTTATTTGTGTTGAACCTTTAGAAATAATATTTACTCTTTGTATTGAATATGTTAAAAGGAAATATACCCAGTAGACTTATTTTAAAAAATAGATTTTTTTTTTTTTTTATCCAATATATTGTTTCAGTGATGAAAACTCTATGTAAAGACAATACAGTATACCAAATTAGAGGCTACAATGATCACAAATCTGGGAATAGTGGCAATGTGAGAAAACGACCAATGTCGGCTCCAGATTGTTTACCTCCATCTAAGAAACAAAAATCGCTTAATGTTGAGTAAGTTTATTTATCTGATTGTCTGTCAGTTTTTTCAAATAATTGAACAGCTGATACCTGAATTAATATTTTTTTTTATTATAATCAATTATTCTTGACTTTTAATATAGTAGGAATACTGTACTGAAATTATTGATCCATTTATCGTAGGGAATGCATAAAATAATTGTCGTCTGTGATGTATGACTCAGAATGTGAGACAAAGGGATACTAATCCCACAGTGGTGGAGGTGGCGTCTTTTTATAAAGATTTATATTTCAGAAGAAAGAAGACCTGCATACGTTATTTGTTGTATACAGATGCATTATGTTCTGAAGTTCCCTCTGGCATATGTCTGTTATCCTTGACCTCATTTTCATGGTTCAGCAACTGTATAGTTTTTTATCATGTTATTTTTTAGTAGTATGTCAACTATATTGGGTATATAAAATGATAATGTAAGATGTACATTAGATACTTTTCTCAGATACTATTTGTAATAGCTTAACTATATTTGGTGTATAGATTGATTGTTAAGTGAACTTGTCTGATAGACAGGGTTCTTCTTACCTTGACCTCATTTTCATGGTTCTTTGGTCAATGATTTTGAGATCTGTTTCTCTGATATAATAGTAATAGGCGTATTGAATGATAGTAAGATGTACATCTCCATCTGTCAGGGTTTATCTGACCTTATTTTCATGGATCATTGAGAATGTTTAGTTTCTGTTATATTTGTATTTACAACATAAAATTCAATAATAATTTGTAATGTAGGTGAAACACTTCAGCATGTGCATTCTTGTGTTTTATATTCAAACAGGATGAAGATGACACATCTTTAGGGTTGCATGTCAAAAGATTCCTAAATAATCGCACATTCTGACTTCTTGCTCACCCAAAAATTACACAAAAAAACAAATAAAGGCTGTTTGAAAAAATTTCTGTGATTTATTTTAAAGGCATTAATATTCAAGTTTTTTGGTAAGTTGGGTAATTCAGAAAGATTTGAATAAAATGAACGATATACAAATAAGTCAATTGTGGGGTGTAAAAAGAAACTGCCTTCAAGACCTTGTAGATTACTTTCTGGTACAGCCCTAAGATGCTTGCATGTTCACATTATATTAACAGTTGCTATCACTATCATAAATACCATACTAGTATTTTTTATCTGATCAGTTTTTCATTTATTCACAGCAGATCACTTTTAAATGGGGAATTAGTTGTATATTTATAACTGGATGTTTTAATCTCTGAAGATTTATCCATGTCTTCAGCTGAAAATACAGTCCTACAAAAAAATATACCAGATAAAAAGAATGCCTTATTCTTGACTTTGTACAAAAACTATCAAATAAAATTTGAGTAGTTAAAAGGAACCCGTCCTCAGTGGTGAAAGTAAATATAAGTCAATAAGATATGTTCATGACTTTTGACAGATACATGTATTGTATAAATCTAATTTCAGGGAAAGTTCTAGTGAAAGGTAAATTTGAGTGTTTCAGAATTATTTTATAGCAATTTAGTATTTATGTTTGCTTAATTCCTTGCTTAGATTTTAGTGTGCTTATAACTATTGTAATGTAAGCTTTGTGTTTTATATTCTACAATATGCTATTGTACATTATCTTTATTCTTCATCTCAATTTTCATAATTTGAAAGACTAATTGTTTGAATTGTTCTAGGTAGAGACCATCCAGTTAAATTAGTTCAATGTAGGGTAACAATTTAATTGAGGATGGAAAAATTATTTTAAATGTAGTAAAAAATTTTAAAAGAGAAAAAAAGGATTTTTTTTACAAACTTTTCCTGTGTCATACAATATGCATATATAGTATTTAAAAGTTGCAGTTTCAGAAATCTTATTGTAAAATAAATGAATAATGAATTCCAAAGAACAAACAAATGTGCTTCCTGAATGATATGAATGGACAAAATAATCAACCAGAAATACAATTTTGTTGAATGTATAAATAAATAAACGATGTGAAAATATGAGGAAATTTTGTTTGTTTCTGTGATTTTAATACAACTTCCTCTTTTAAAAGTATGTTAATTTTTTTTTCTATTTGAATATAATGATAGAATTTGAGTGAGCACTTAAGAGGGTACCCAACACTTTGACTAAAAAAGATTTGGCTCATTTAATTTTCATAAAATTTTGATAAAATATTGACTTTGACCTGTTGACAAATATATAAAAATTTTAAGACATTTGAACCACACAAATTACAGGAATAATTTCATTGGTTATATAGCAGTTTGATAAACACTAATTTTGATCATTGAGAAGTTTGATTTCTTTTCACTAAGAGTATGTGATTAAAATGTTCAACTGAATTTTAAAGAGTTAACTCCCTTAGGTATTTTTCCCCCTTTAAGTGCAGAAAATAAACTGATCACTTTAGTGCAGAAAAAAATCTGAACACTTTCAAGCAGAAATATCAGTCCTGCTGTCCCTATGATGTCAACAAAATTGATTTATATGACTTAATATATCCATTTTTGTCCCCCGCGCAATGCGTTGCAGGGGACATAGAAATACAGGGTATCGGTCTGTATGTCTGTCTGTCAGGTCTTGTTAGTGCTCTCACGTATACAATTCTTGTCAGATTTTTATGGAACTTATATCATAGGTTTATATCAGCAATGTCTTTGACGAGTTTAAAAATCAGTGCTGATCAAATATTTTTTGAAAGAGTTATGCCCCTTGGAATTATTGATTACATGGAAAATTGCATAGGTAGGGCTCTCGTGTTTAATTCTTGCCAGAATTTTATGAAACTTATATTATAGGTTTATATCAGCAATGTCTTTTACACTTTCAAAAATAAGTCAAACATTTTTAACGAGTTATGCCCCTTGGAAATATAAATTATAATGGAAATCACATTGCATTTGCTCTGAAGCCTTCATATCTATAAGATATTAATAAAAAGTTTTAAAGAACAAAAAAAAATGCTTTTTTAGTTATTGCCCTTGTACCTTGGATAGATAAGATATGTGCAATGCAGGGGGACATTGGAACTCTGTTCTTTTATACTCATAGTTTCGGAGAAAATTCAAAACATAAGTCACAGCCTTGTCTTAAATAAATTTTTAACACATCAACATCAGTAGCTTATATCGAAATATTAAGGATCAGATCTCAATAGCCTTATCATATTTTTTCTTTAAAAGTGTTTTTTTTTTGCTAAAATTGTTTAAAATTTGCCAAAAACATGCATATGATATTTTATAATTTTTCAGAACTCAAGTTTGTCAGAGTTCTCCCCCTTTTCACTGCAAGACAATTTCATACAATTTACTGACAGCAGAGAGTGTTGAAGTAATTAGTAATAGTTATAGAAATGCTGATACATCTTTATTTTGTTATATTGTTCTTTATATCATTACATAAATCTAAATATTGATGAGAAGATATTGTGCTTATTTTTTTTTTCAACAGTTATTTTTCCTCTTATTTTGCAATACAAATATAGAAAAATGTCTTTTTTTGGTGTTTAATTTCATGTTTTGTTTTTGTTTTTTTTTTTGTTTGTTTTTTTTGTTTGTTTTTTTTTGGGGGGAGGGGTGTCTTGTCATAAAACAAAGAGAAGACATGCTTACATTTCTTTTGTCAGCATTATCAGCATCATCTACAATTATTCAAGTCTGTAATGAGGTCAGTTTAAAAGGAATGCTGTTAAGTATATTATAAGACAATTTTATAGAGTATGAATTTGTATAATCATCAATACATTTTCTTTGAATTAAGCCATAAAAATGATGCCAATGACTAGTGAAATTGATTGTGGATGTCTGAAATTTACAGCTAAGAAGTGTGACCAACTTGTAAAATATTTCAGTTTATGAAAATTTTCTGTTTTCCCATAGTTAAGAATTTTAGGTCAAATTTTCTTAAAGACTAGTTCAATCCTTTATTTTTCAGGCAGATCTTGTATTTTGAGAGACAAGGTTTATATTATCCCAAGCTTTGTCTGGCCAGCGACTGCTTGTAAGCAGATTCCTCATATATCCATTGTCCTTGACCTATTTTCATGGTTCAGTGACTGCTAGAAAAATTTTTTTTTGTTTTTTTGTCATGTGAATTTCTCACTCATTATAAGTAATAGGATAACTATATTTGGTAAATGGGTTCCTTGCAATGTCTACATGTCTGTCAGACAGGGTTCACCTGACCTCGACTTCATTTCACGGATCAGTGACCCAGGTTAAAGTTATGTGGTCAAGATCCGTATCTCAGATACTGTAAGCAATAGGTCAACTATATTTGGTGTATGGAATGATTTAAAGGGGTACATGCCAGTCTAGCCGGTATCATCTGACCTTGAATTTATTTTCATGGTTCATTGGTCAATATTAAGTTTTTTGTGATTTGGTCTTTTTTTCAAGTACTATAAGCAATAGGTCAGCTATATTTGGTGTATGGAATGATTGTAAGGTGTGTATGTTGGTCTAGCCGGTATAATCTGACCTTGACTTAATTTTCATGGTTCATTGGTTAATGTTAAAATTTTATGTTTTGGTCAGTTTTACAAATACTAACAGCAATAGGTCAATGGAATAATTTTCAGGTGTACATATCTGTCTGGCAGGTATCATCTGACCTTGACCTCATTTTCATGGTTCATTGGTCAATGTTTAGATTTGTGTTTTGGTCTGTTTTCCAATTACCATAAGCAATAGGTCATCTATATTTAGTGAATGGAATAATTGTAAAGTATACATGTCTGTCTGACAGCATTGATCTAACCTTGACCTCATTGTCAGGGATCTTTCAAAAATGTTAAGTTTATGTGATACTTGTAGTAAAACCTTTATGGTTAAGACTTTCAACATAAAATCAGTGGTCAGTAAAGCAGGTGAGACATTTCAGCGTGTGCACTCTTGTTATTCTTTTAGAAGAATGAATAATTAAAAGAAACCTTTCCTGTGGAGAAAATGAAACCACTTTTGATTTTGTTGTCACTAAGTTAAAAATCAAGATCCCTGCAGATTAGAGAAACCTTACTATAAATTAGCAGAGGGTGAACAGTTTTTGATTCATCCATCCATCGGTCAGTCAATCTGTCTGTCCTCTTGTCTCTTAGTCATTTTCATTTGTTGTTTTTATTTTTTGATTTAAGGTCACTTGGTCAAAGGTCAAGGTCATGGTAGCCATAAATTGACTCACAATATGTAGGAAATTGGGATTTCTGGATAAATCTTGAATCAATTTTTATACGACCGCAAAAAAATTTTGTGGTCGTATATTGGTATGACGTTGGCGTCGTCGTCGTCCGGCGTCGTCGTCCGAAGACACATTGGTTTTCGCACTCTAACTTTAGTTTAAGTGAATGGATCTCTATGAAATTTCACCATAAGGTTCAATACCACAAAAGGAAGGTGGGGATTGATTTTGGGGGTTATGGTACCAACAGTTAAGGAATAAGGGGCCAAAAAGGGGCCAAAAATAAGCATTTTTGTAACTTCCAGACATAACTTGTGTGTTAGTGTATGGATCTCTCTGACATTGTACCACAAGGTTCCATATCACAAAGGGAATGCTGGGATTGATTTTGGGGGTAATTGCCTCCAAATTTTAGGAATTAGGGGCCAAAAAGGGGAAAAAAAACAAGCATTTTTGTAGTTTCATGACAATAACTTGTGTGTAAGTGTATGGATCTCTCTGACATTGTACCATAAGGTTCCATATCACAAAGGGAATGCTGGGATTGATTTTGGGGGTAATTGCCTCCAAATTTTAGGAATTAGGGGCCAAAAAGGGGCAAAAAACAAGCATTTTTCTAGTTTCATGACAATAACTTGTGTGTAAGTGTATGGATCTTTATGAAATTGTACTACAAGGTTCCATATCACAAAGGGAAAGCTGGAATTGATTTTGGGGGTAATTGCCCACAACGTTTAGGAATAAGGGGCCAAAAAGGGGCCAAAAATAAGCATTTTTCTAGTTTCCAGACAATAACTTGTGTTCAAGTGTATGGATCTCTCTGAAATTGTACTGCAAGGTACCAAACCACAAAGGGAAGGCTGGGATTGATTTTGGGGGTAATTCCCTAGAAATTTGAGGAATTAGGGGCCATAAAGGGGCAAAAAAAACAAGCATTTTTCTAGTTTCAGGACAATAACTTGTGTGTAAGTGTAATGATCTTTATGAAATTGTACTGCAAGGTTCCATATCACAAAGGGAAAGCTGGGTTTGAGTTTGGGGGTAATTGCCCTAAATGTTTAGGAATTTGGGGCCAAAAAACAAGCATTTTTCTTGTTTCCAGACAATAAATTGTGTTCAAGTGTATGGATCTCTCTGAAATTGTACAGTTCATACATGTGAACCTCCCGACGGGAGTACAATAATCCCGTTTCCAGGGGTCTCCTCCCGACCTCCCGTTGAAGACAAAAAAATCCTGTGTATGAAATATTTCATGAATCAAAAATTTCAGCCCAACATATCTGGTGTAACTGACATTACCTGAAGTTATATT